CGCGCAGTGCCCCTGGCGTGCTTGCCTTCCAATACTCATTTGTTGATTGAAGTATTTGTGGGGTCTAGGTACCCGGGGGCAACAGGGGCGTTCTTAGGTCCAGAGCATGAGGACTCTATAGAGGTGCACATTCAGGGCTTGCTTTGCTGCCGTTCCCACAGCTTTTGCTCTGCATCAAAGCCTCTGCGTCAAAGCAATACGCGCATGCTTGAAGAGTTTTGCCACTTTCCGGCTCTCGGGAAGGCATGCAAATTCCGGTCCAGCTCTTCTTCAATCCGTCGTGTAATTGCTTCTGTTCACACCTGGCCTACACGAAGGCTGCATGTGGTCGAACATAAGCACTAGGACACTGTCAGAACAAACTCGGGGTAAACAGCATCATCACTGTAGACGATGTACTCGTCATGTACCTGCCTAGAAGATGCCTGTCGCAATGTGAAGTTGCCTTCAGCCATCCCTGAGTGATACGTGGGGCTGGCAAAAAAGCGATTGCGGCAGTCTTTGTCAAGGCGCTCGATGCGCCCCAGAACCACCCTACAAATCAATATGCAGCCACCATGACCGGCATACTGAAATGCTTTGCAACTGCTGTTGGTGAAATACAAGCCCCTTCCATACAAGCCGTCTGGCTCCTTGTGGAGTGAGAACTTGGTTCGCAGCCCGCGTTGGCAAACAGAAGCCAGGTTGGAATTTCTCGTGCCGTGCATCAGGTACACTGTGTTAGCTGTCTTAGACAATCCATTCCGACAGCCAAGTCGTTGCAGCCAAGGATGTATTCCTCGTACGAGGTTGTCTTCGACACTCTGATCGAGCAGCTCATGTGCTACGGCCGCCTCGTACACCTTGAAGCGCTCAAAGAGAGTTTTGTTCTCAATACGCTGTACAGACTGCACTTCCATCTGGCATTCTCCTTCGTGCACTGGACAGTGACAACGGCATCTCGTCAATCCGTGTCTCATATGAGTTTCTTGAAGCATTCGTTCTGCTTTCCTGTGGTTGTAACCATTTTCCCTGTAGTCGTTCATAAGAAGAGGAATATCCGGCGATTCTGACTTAAAGTAGCTCGGAATTTCCACAACTGCCATTTGACGCCTGTCTGCCAATGCAGCCAGATAATCTCTGTCGGAAATCAGCCCTGCCCTGCGCAGCGCTTCTGTGAGGGCAAGTTTGGCTTCAGGTTTGATCTGGCCTGTAGCCCCAATGGACTGCAGCGATGCGGTGACCCCTCCACGTCTCATGGGGGCAACGCCGCCACCACATGCACACGCTTCCATGCTGTGACCAGATGCAGCAGTGGACCCTTTGCGAATGCCACCAGAATCGTAGCCAAGGTGTTGTGCAATCTCAGGGCCCCGCGAAATCAAATCCCGACAGGAGATTCGCTCAACACTCAGTGTCCTGGCATGCAGCACAATCACGTCCTGCATCGGTGGAGAACCAGATCCCAGGGACCTAAGTCTGTAAATAATACCTACTTTGGGCCATGAAGTCTACAAAGCGTACTTGGGCACCTGCTTTGGGCCAGAACGGATGCGACTTCCAACTGTGCCTAGCACTGCCAGCTACCTACCTGATCCAACTCACCTGCCTTTTTCGAAGCAGTCCATGTGGGAGTTTCCAAAACCTGGGGTTTCCCCTGTAAACCTAGATTTTTGCAGTCCGTAGTATAGGGATAAGGAGACCATGTATGTGGCATCCTCCAGCGATCAAGATCATCGCCAGTCCAAGCTCCAGACGTGCCCTCCGCGGCCCTCGAGAGAAGCGGACGTTGCTGTTGCGTGGCGAAAGGCAGCAGCCAACGCCTATGGAATGATTTGCTACAATCACCTAGATATCTGCCACCTGGGTGTCTAAACCAAGCTCAGCTTCTGCATACTGATTGTCAAGTGTCTGACACTTCGGGGTAATCTCAAACACGCTATTCTTATGGGGGTGTTAACCTGTTTTCTTTCAAAAAAGGGCGACCCCAATACATACCCCGAACAGAACCCTCGAACAAGGAACCCCTAATCTTTGGAAACCCCATGCTGGTTGCTCACTATCCAGGCCCTGATTTTCGAATCTAGGGTTCAAGGACCCCAATATGATGCTTTTAGCTACCGAAAGCCATTCAAGCATGCTGAAACCATCAAATCTTGGTGCCTCGACTATGACGGAACCCTACCTCATGTCATAAATTCCTGGCATGATCACCGTACGTGCTTCGAATCTCTGCAGCTAAGCACTCTAAAATTGACATACCGACGCAAACTTGATTAATCCTGCGCTCAGAGTTGAAAGCAGGATGCTTTGCGTCCACCAAGGCCCTTGCGAAAGGGCACGTCCCAAGTCTTTGCCCGAGGCACCCACGAAATCCTGACATGAAAGCTAAGCTGTTTCACAAAGAGCTTTTCAGGCCCGGCTCCCGTCTTGCAGCCAAGAATGGGAATTGTTGGTTAAGGCACTGTGCGAATTCAGCGCTGCTTGGGCGCTGCGTGAACTTTCGGCCCTTGTAATTTTGCGGCTTGCTGTCGCTCAGCATTTCCAATTCATTTAAAACAGGTCTGATGGCGATGCGCACAACCCTTCTATTCGTTGCTGCTCTCCAATCTACTAGCCTATAGACTGCTCATAAACAATACCAGCAGTCGTCAATGAAGCCTGAGTCGGGCAAGGAGCTGCAGTACTACACTACGTAGGGCTGTCGCTGTCGTTTGTGCCAGACAGCTCTCAATTCATTTCTTTGGCAGAGTTGCCAACCTCTTAGCCAAGTACCCGAGTTTTCCATCAAAAGTTGTGAATAGTTCACGGTTTCACGAGGTCAGGATGTGCCTCCGTGTACATCTTGAAGATCTCGGAAAGATCCAATCGAAGACCGGTGCCCTCAGATAGATCGAGACAAGAAGCTTGCCCACTACCATGTTTGTTCCGCATGCTTCCCCTAAACCTCGCACATGCTCGATATATGAACTTACATTCACATCTTTTGCGGATTCAAGGGGCCATTACATTTCGGCGGTCTAAGCTCGCACTATTTACTATGCTCCCAGCCTCCTCGGTGATGCGCACATTGCCATCAGCCGCAACAAAGCCGGCCTGAGCGGCAGCCGCAGCGAAGGCAAATTAGGAAACGGGGAGTGCTGGCCGTTGACCTGCTACGGAGGACGTGCGTGCCTTCTGTGGACGTTTTGCTGGGCTCGTCGCTTCTAGTGTGATTCTGTTACAATCTGCTTGCAAGACATGCCGGCTCCAGTTGCACTCCTGCCCTGCAGAACTGCAGAACGACATGAATTCCATCAACTCGTTCAAAGATGCCCACAATTGATGGTTCTAAGGGGTTCCTGTGAAAATCCGCAGCCTCGGGCAAATGACAAACACACAGGACATCTGCCGGGCACCCTGCCACTGCGGAGTCGAGCTCAGCATCTGGAAACAGAGGATAAGTAAAAATGATCTAGAGGATAGATGCAGATGGTCGCAGGCTTCTGCCAGGATGAATGCACATGCTGAAAGAAAGCTCGAAAAAGGAAGAAGCATGAGAAGGTAGCCCAAGGCAGCGCCGCCATCCCTTGGAGTCTGAACTCGCATGCCATAACAGCCAGTCCTGAATCGACACAACTCCCAATGCCCAGCATCCAGCAGCCAGGCCTAGACTCTCACCACCAGTGTAGACCGCCACAGCCGGACCTCTTGAACCCTCAACATGAGCCAGAAGACCCTCCACGTAGGCCCTGACTGACTGCTCACCGATGTACGAAAACCTCCACGCGTAAACAGCTGCTGGTCTAAGTGCTATGTCTCCAGGTTGCAATACTTTTACTATTCCCGGTACTATTGTTCTCATTGCAATATGCTTGAACAAGGCATGCTGGGAGTGCTCATGACATGAGCCAAGGCACCAGCAGGGCCAGGTCCCTTCGTCTCAGGCTTGTTCTAGGGAGATGTGATGATGTAAAGGGTTATTAGGGACATATAGGGTTATATAGGAATAGATCAGCGATACATGTATGTGTAGAGATTCTGTAGGGATACATAGAGATACATACAAGATACAAAAAGACATTTTGTGGTTCTGGGTATCCCGCAGCCCTTGGCTCCACAGTTCAGAGCCATGTGGATCCTGGCATCCACGGCCGGCCTCAGGTGCCCAAAGAATTCAGAAACCTTGCCCCTGGGCTCCAAGTCCTTCACTGATGTTTACCTTGGGCCCTGAGGTCATAAATCGTATTAGTACTTACTTGGAGCTTTCGGGATCCCTGGGTTTTGTTTGGCTGTGAAGCTGGCGCGCGTTCTCGGATCAAAATGTGCTTGGCCAGGGTATTTCGCACATTGGCATGCTGCTTGAGATCTCGACATCCGAAGCTGGCGCTGAAAATCTTGCTGAGGTCCCTGAGCGGGAAATCTTGGCACGTGTGCCTTTGCAATGCACTCGAAAAGGCAGAAAGTGCCACAAAAAGGGTGCTGCACAGGTGTCAACAGGTACCGCACTGGTGGTAATCACCTTATCAGAATCGAAAGTACCTTGCAATTGGCATGTTTTCGCCGCTCTATCACACTCTATTAAGCCATGACCTTTCACGGGACCTCTTTGACCGGCAATGTACTGGAGTGCGAGAAAGCTGTCAGAAAACCCTCAGAAGTCATAGAGATCCTCTCGCAGCTTCAGTTCCGGTTTGGCCCGGTTTGGCCTGTTGCTATGCTCACCATTTCAAGCACAGCCCTGCCATCAAGCCCAATATCTGATATGTGGGATCGATGAGGTGGTGTCCACCTTCTGAGAGGTGTGAAATAACAAGGTGTTGAATTTCGGGTACGTGAAGTTCATTAACGCCATGTGGCCACGCGACGAATTCGCGGTGAATTCTGTGAGGCTTGTCAGGTGCAAGCCCTTGGCTTGTGCCAAGCTATCTGTCAGAGGAAATACAAACCAAGACCCTCTAAGTACCCTTAAAACATAGGCTAGGGCTTTTGGGCCGGAAAAGACGGTAGATTGGAGGGTCTCGGAAGACTTTGAGCTAAAGCTATGGCCCCTCGTCTTCGGAAGAGCCCGAGTCGAAGGAATCTTCAGGCCAACGCAGCTGACGGCGCGCAGCCACCAAAGCGCGCATCAACTTCTTGGCCAACTCCGGATGCTCGTCCACCACTTCAGCCAACTTGTCCTCCACAAGACACTGCAAGATACTGTGCAATAGGATGGATGGTTTTCTGGTTCTGGCTCCACGCTGCTCAGCCCTTCACCCCTTCCTGATTACACGATACCTTCCTCCTGGCTCTGCCAGCCTGGCTTTCTCTTACGATGACAGGTTCCATCGAGATTCTAAGGTCATGACTCCGCCTTCCTGCCATCCATTGTCCAGTCTCCTTTGTGCTCCTCCACCCCTCACACCCCACGCCGTACCGCTGCAAGATGCGGATGCTTCCGAAGAACCGCATGCTGCAAGCCCGTCCCCGATCCTCAATGGTGCGCTGAAAACCAAAACTCTCCAGGGAGTTGTTTTCTCAAGACACAGAAGGGAACAGTGGGAAGGCCAAGCATTTTTCCCCACTCCGCTTGTTAGGCATCCCTCGAGCGTGAACGTAATCAAACAACTGGAGAACCAAATGGACAACGAAATGAAAACAGAAGCCTTTTTCGGGTCTCGGGTCAGTATGAGGATCAATGAGGATTGCACATTAATATGGGGATCTGCATGCCTTACTCGTACTTGCGCCCATAGTTGGCTTGGTTCCCGCGGTGATACATAGCATTGTATTTTCTAAATGCTCCGTAGTACAACTTTAATACCCATGCCAACCCCCAACCTACCCAGCTCTGATGCTAGCTGGCCGGGGCCCTGGGCTTAATCTGGCAAACCATTCTGCAGACCCTGGAAAGCAGAAAAATGCGAAAATCAGCCTCTCCTCCTGCAGGACCAGTACCTGTCAAAGAGCGCAATACCAATTATGACAATGATACTTCTTCTTACTTAATTTAAAATATTTACAATGCAAACACTTGTAGCAGTGCTAGCAGTACTTGTACTGATAAACGGAGAGGAAGAACGTGCTCAAACCCTTGCACTTGTCATGGAATGCCTCGCAGCCGTTTTGCATGATCATCTGCACGCAAAGCTGCTCCAGGCGGCAGCCGGTGCCGAAGACCTGGCGGCAGTTGTTTCAAACTACGGGAACCTACCAATTTAACGTTCTGCCAAGGGGTTACACATAGAGTGATTTTTGAGAAGCCCTCCACCTGGCTGAGGAATTGAAGGACGTTGTTCTCGGAGAGCAAATTCCCGAGCTCTGCTTCAGCCTCGGCGTCTCCACATCCCGAAACATCCCTGAACCGATAACCCTAATCATCCGTTAAGAGAAGTCTTGAAAGAAACCGCATGTGTTGTGCTTCAGGTTTCCTTTGCCAAAAAAACTTGTGATGTTTCTCACTCGGGCCTTCTCAACAAGGCCCGTGAGGCGGTACTGGTCTGCAAGCCTTCGGATGGATAGAGCAAACATGAAGTCACCGTTGGCACAGAAGGTACCAGACGTCATGAAACCTTGTGGCGGCAAAGGATAATACTTGGGGACATGAAAGTTTGAAGGATCCTTGAAACAAAAAATGTTCCATTAAAAGCTATGAAGCGGAAGATTGCAGAGAGCGATCGGTGGTCCGCCCGAGGATCGCTGCTAAGGTCGATCTCATTGCTGCAGCCTTCCTTGAAGCGTGGCTCTGCCAGCATATCTCGGAAGTATTCAGAGCAGGCCATCAACACACGCTTGTCGAAGAAGAGGGGCGGGCCTTCCGCCAACCGAACAGTGACCTGGGTCACCTCCTGTGAGAAGTCCAAGCTGTCAAAAATGTCTTTCAAAGAGTCTGTCTGCAGGGGAAACTCGACGGTCGCTCGAACGACCAAGCGGTTGAAGCCAACCCAGGAAACAAGATCTGGAAAAGGTCGGGGCCACAGCTCGGACCAGCCGTTTCCCGATTCCTCATCCGTGAAACAGAAGGTTGCTGCCTCTTTCATAACCCAGTCGGCCCCTTCCTGAAAGACCGTTACCTCGCACTTGGCATCTTGCACGATCCACTCGGAGCCAATATCTTGCATCGGCCCAGGAAGCAGATAGATAAAGACGCCCAGGCACCCGAAGCGCCCCGGAACTATGGTGCAGACTCGCAGCTGGATGCGGAAGGAGTTGGGTGGACCCGCGAAGCGAGAGAGGAGCGGCGGCGGGATCGGCTTGTCAGGCGCGGGAATGAAGGACTCCAAATCTCGAATGACCAGCTCCACCTGGCTTCAAACTTTCACAAAAGCAAGAGCAACAAGATGCATCTGCCTGCTCCTGCCGCCCTTTTGGCAGCGGGGGCCCATAGGTGGCCTTGCCGGGAGTGCGGTTGCAAGGCAAGGCTAAGCTTGCAGGTGGTGATTTCAGAGCACCGTAAGCCTGCGAGCTTCTTCATTCACTTTTTGCCGGCATTCTCAAGCTATTTTGAGGGGCCCCTGCTGCACCTGGCCACGCAGACGGAGCTCCTGGTGTCGGTTAAGCCAAATTCCTTCATCTGCCACCTGGAGCTGGAATGTTCGTCCAACACACGCACACAACGTACAGAAAAGGTTGTCAGCAGTTTTACTACGTGCGTTCTGTGAGATCTAGTGAACATTGCAGTTGCTGCTACAAGATAATGCCTATTATCCCTGCCTCATCCATGTCACAAATGTCGCAGAGCCCAGCAAAGGGGCAGGAATTGCTCAATGTAAACGTACCTGGCATGCTCTATCTGGCCACGAGATGCTTAAGCCCTCGAGTTATGCTTGCAACACAACCAGAAGCTGCCTGTCTTCCACGGCTTCACCTCCGGATCGTCTTCCTTCAGAGCTGTGAGCTCGAAATGAATGTCCTCGCACCTTCGTGATTTGAACAGGAGTTGCCAGAATTTACCGTGAACGTCACAGACACAAAGCCTGGTTCAGGAGTCTGTCTCTGTGGCCAGGAAAATATGTTGCAAACCGCATGCGCAAGGGAATGAACTTGACAGGTCCAAGTACTAAAGTGTTGGCAAAGGCACCGCCAAGTGCAACCCTCCAGGCCCACGGGCGGAAGAATCCTTTGCTGGGCTGGTTGGGGGTTCGGGCCTTCACTGGGCCAGAAGCTGGTTTATTGGTATAATATGGCTTGGCCTCTTCGACGACGGCTCCGCAGGCACAGGTTTTCCACAAGCGTGTTTGAACATGACGGGGTTGCTGTAACCAAGACACTCCAGGAAGGCGCTGAGCAGGTCGCAGTCGTCCTGTGTGAGGGCCGTGTATGCCAATTGCCCTACGCCCCACGACTATGAAGCATAATTAAGCACCGCAACTGCAGCTAGAAGCATCTGCGCTCACTGGCTTGCGTCCCTGCAACCTATGGGACAACCTTCAGGCAAAGAAAAGCAGAAATCGAGCCGGACAAGGCCGTGCTACCATGAGAGTTTGCCGCAAATGCCTGGTTACAGAATAAAAGAAACCGTAGAGAGCGCAATTTTTCTTCACAGCTGAGACCTGCAGAATGCACTCGCCTTGTAGTGATACCGCCCTCTGGGGTAGATCACTAAGCGCATGCGAAATTCATCTTCCCCGCCAACCTGCAGGCCAAGCGCAAAGCCAATTTGCTATGAGCGTGGCTGCTAAGCTCAAAAAACCCGGGGCTCACCGTGCTCGACACCACGTACTGCTCCGGGCGGTACCCGCAAGGATTCCTGGGTGTGGCACTACACAAACGTGACGTCTGTGGCTGCACTGTGAGCTTTCTCTGCAGCCATGGCTCCACAACACCAGGTCAACCTGCTGTTGCCATCCTGGTTGCATCCTGTGGCGCAGGGCAGTTTGCCTGCCCCCACAATGGCCTACAATCTTATAAATAGACACTGTGGCTCAGCTCGTCCTATTGAATCCTGACAAAATCTTGCGTCCGGTTCTCTGAGACTGTTATCTGTTACCATGACATGTCCAAGCGGCTGGGCTGCAGTCGCATCTCTGGTCACCATGGCCAGCCCACAGGACAAATATGCTCCCGTGTTAAAAACCAGAATAGTGCTTCATTGCCGGCACTGATTCTTATGGCTGTGGGGACTTCCGGGGGGCTAGAGTCCATCTAAATCTTTGTCGCAATGGCGCCGCATGCGGCGCTAAGAGTTGCGAGACTTGCCTTCCTTTCTGCAAGAGCCTAGTCGGCGCCTGTAAACTTACCTAGACCTTCCGAATATCATACCCATAATTTTGCTGTTGAAGGCCACAATGTCTAACAAGGGTACTACTATCACCTTTTTGTCGGCATTGCTGGTTATTGGCCAGTCCAGGTAGGGCAATCTGAAGGCTGCATTGACCGCATGAGCAATTCTCCAGAGAGGTGCAACATTCAAAGATACTTGTTTTGAGACAAACTCAGGCAGGACCTCCAAATTTTTCAATCACGGTAGGGTCCTCCATGCTATGTGGCGAGCTGTACCACTTTCGACTTCGAGCAGGACAAGCGTCTCATGATTTGCAACAGGCCACAACTGCTGACCAGAATAGTGCTGAGTCCGAGATTCCGTGCCTTAAAATAGCCTTTGCGAGCTCGAAGGATACCGTGCTCGATGTCGTCCAAGCTCATCTGAAGTCGAAACAGTGAACGTAGCGAGGCGCAGCAACAAACAACGTTCCTTTATCGGAGGCTCACAATTCCCCATGCTGCAAAGACTATACTGCCCCAAATGCGGCCAAACTGGGTACCTGTGTAGGTACATCGGGATCAGACTATCTACCATTGGGTACTTGGATTTGAGATTATCATCTTCAAACGGTTCCTCGCTTCTGTCGCCTGAACTCCAGCCACTCGGTAGGACACAGCCGGCGTGATGAAGAAACAGTATAGATACCTCACCAGAAGCAGTGGTGGACTTGATTACATCCCTTCAGTCAAGCCTAGACAGCATGTTTGCATTGGGCAGGCGTGTGTCGCTTTGAGTCATCAATCATGTTCTCATGTCCATGAGGCTTGCACCACCATCCTTGGCGGCGTCCGAAGGTGCTGACACCGTGGAACGTCCTAGGCAAAGTTTGCCGTCAAGGCTGTTGTGTTGTTGTGCTGCGCAGGAGTCCCCAAAGCACTTCATTGCTTCTGCTTAGGCATGCGCATGGCATTGTAGAGGTTGATGAAGAATGCCTCGCAGAGTCGTAGGAATGCTTTTGAGGCTCCTTATTGGGAGGTATTATATCTTACAATTCTATATTGCACCACTTATTGGGTTTGCGAAAAATGTGATAAGCAAACGTAGCCAACAATGGTCCGGTTTACAGGCTCGGCGTTTTCAGCTGCTATTACTCTTCCTGATGCTAGTACTGTTGCTCTCTCTTTCTCTCTGCCTGGATGCAGAAGGTCGTGAGACCCCCCGCCGGAGTTCCACAAACCATTACTTGCACTATTACTGTTGACATTGCATGCTATGTAATATATTTATGCATATACAGCAGGTCTTGTCTGTTAGGTACAGCATCCTGCCTTTCGGTCTGACTCGCTCAAGGCCTCGAGCTCTGATCGCAGCCTTGGCCTTACAGGGGAGCACAGCTCAGGATGTGATGAGAGCAATAATTACTAAGAAGAATAATGAGAAAAAGACATATAATGCTAAGATTGTCATAGTAGTAGCGGCTAAGAACTAGAAGTACTAATACCAGTTACACTGATAGTAGCTATCACGTGTTTATACACTCTAGTAGTTGTGTAACTGTTCAACCTATATACTATACACGAAATGGAACCCCAAGAAGGGCCCCATGTACAAACGACCGTCCTTTCAAAGGGGTCTTTGTGGGATGTTAGTTTGGGGGATGGTGACAATAATATTAAACATAGTAACAATAATAATGATAGTATTAATCGTACCATGACATTGAGGCTAATGATAGGACTCCTCAGGATGCTACTCACCGATCTCTGCTGCAAGTGCGCGGAAGAGGCTCCACCTGCTCGCACGAGCCCAGCCGTTTTTGTTTTCGTTGAGGGTCCAAGTATTCAGGAATGGTTTGGGAATTTAGGAGCAGGTATTTGAAATACAAGCTTCGGGGACGTATATGATACTTGGATTGGGCTCCCATTTCTTTTGGAAATCAAGCAAGAGCCGTAGCCAGCCAAGGACCGGGCGCTGTCTGTGCGAGGGCTGCAGTGGAAATTGGCAGAGCTGCACTGGATTCAGCTGAGCATCGAGCTGTGTGGACTCACGCATGGCCACGTAGTCCACATCACTACCTCTCAGTGTAATCGCGCAAACCATTCAGTTGAACCCCTTTCAGTGGATGCTCTGGAGGCTCTAAGTTGGTCGCTGGCAGGATCGAAGAAATCATCCAAGAGCTGCAGCCTGTCTTTTGGCGTTCGATGGAGCTGGATCTGAACACGCATGTGAGCTTGCACGCTTTGCACGCCTGGATGCTGAGGCCGAAGCATCACCTGCCTCAGCAGGGCCTTAGAGAGTGCACAGGGGCTGCACCTGCAGAGTTTTTGGGCTTCATGCGCAAAACTCTGCACATTCTTTACAGTGTCGGCGCATCATGAACAGCAAAAGCCATGATTACTCTCCAACGCTGAACGCATAGGCCTCCTGATCCACAAAGCCACAAGCTCCACAAACAAGTCTCGTTGCTGAATTTTGTGAAGTCCCCCTAAGGCCATGACCACCAGCTCAGAGGCGCTGCTGCTGAGCGCTGGCCCTGGTGCTGGGGCGCCTGGCGCCTGAAGATCGTTGCTCCGCTCCCCGCCGGCTTGGTCAAGCTTTTGTTGCGCCCAGCAAAGAGCTCACGAGGCCCAAGCCGCTGGCAGGTTCAGAGGCACATTGCGGCTCTGGTCCTTCAATCTGAACAATCTTCCTGCTGAGCACTCCCTACTTCCACACATTTCCGCACTCCAAAGGTCCCATGGAGGCCTGCTTGGGCGTTGATGTCACAGCATAGCGCAGGAAGGCTCCCAAGGAAGGTCGGGAGCCTGCCTCGCAGGGCGGCCCGCTTTGACATCAGCGGTTTTCAGGAAGGAGCTGGTCTTGGCCTGGTACTTCAGGGTGCTCATTGCCTGTCAGGTGCAGCATGTGCTTTTGAGCCGTCAGCTGTGAGGGAACTCTCAAGTTTTCTCGGCTGTCGGCTTAGGAGCGATGTGCTGTTAGCTACGCATGGGCCATTCTGCCTGAGAACGATCCATCAGCTTTGCTCGCACTGCCTGCAAGGCCGCCGTGTTGATCATACTTTAAAGTCACTGCTCGCAAGGCGCGTGCAATAGATTCGCCTCAGCATTCCACCTCCAGCTACCTCCAGCTGGCAGCTCCGCCCCGAAACCGAGCCAAGTCAGGACAGCGTGCTGCGCTTAATTACGTAACACTAGCACCAGATTCCCAAGCTTCCCTGAGTGTCCCTGAGTGCTCGTGATCGTCGCCTCCGGCAGAGTGGCAGAAGCAAGTTTCTCAGGTTGCGTCCTGAGATCCCACTGGATTTTCGGCACAGTACCAAGGGCAATCATCCGGCTTTCTGCTTACTGACCCCTCGCAGGTGCTGGTGCTGTCGCCCCAGCGTTTTCAGATGGGCTTGAGGACAAAGTGATCGCAATGCGGCAGTATGTTGGCTCAAGAAGTGTACAAGAGACTTCCGTCACCTTTGTTGTTTTCAACCTTTCTGGGGTAGCGGCGGGGTGATGTAGACATCATCCTGCAGGGTTTGAAAGCGTTAACGAGAATCCGAAAACCAATATGGTGACGTCTTGCTTCTTTGGTCCTCCTTGCTTCGCTGGAGGGCGTCCATCAGGCCGCCTGCCTCCAAAGCTTGGAGGGCCGAAAAGAGACTGCTGGTGCCTTTTGAGTGGAAAGGATGGTGGGAGCTGCTGCTGCATCATTTATGATTTAGGCTTGAGTTGCTGGTGCTGAAAGGGGAGTAAACTTGTGCCCACCGGGGGGGACGAAAGCTTCGAAGTGAGCAGGCCTTGGTGCCCAAAACATGCCGCATGACAGCGGCATCAGAAGCCGTCCTTTCCCACCCTCCTGAACGGCCGGTTTCGGAGACCAACAGGCCACCCCCCTAAAACCCTCCTTCGGTGAGGCCTGGCCCCGGAAAAGCAGCCAAATTCGACAACATTCCGGAACTTCCCTCACCCACACCCCCTTAGGACAGATCAGCATACGAGTAGCTGGGTTCAAGGCGAAGGCTTGGAAAGCTTTCATAATAAGGTACTATCGTAATCAAATGTTTTACGGGGAGTATGTGCAAGGACTCACTCCGCCACTCACCTTGAGCGAGGAGTTCCTCAAGACGGACTCTACCCTGAGGCTCATACACAGTTCCTTTTGGGTGCTCCGCCACAAGAAGCATAAAAGATGCCCGAGAATTTGGTTTCCTAGTTGCAGGAGACTGGACTGGCCTCATCCAGCCGTTGTAAATCATCAAAGCCTGCTGCCACTTTGGAACTGAGGGAGCTTGAAGGCTTGAAGGACTTCCAGGGTGAACACCTCGCCTCCCAAACAGCGGCTTCCAACGAAGACCTGGGGCACCTGACTTCAATGGCTGGGTCCTGTGATATCCACTGCATCATTCGTGTTCCATGCGTGAACGGCTTTTTCTAACCATGCCGCGCCACATTCTGAAAAAGCTTGCTCAGACTTGCTCTGGCAGCAGCGCCAAGGCACTGTAGAAGCCTTCGACCTCTCTTGGACCTCTGCCCGCCGCTCCTTGCGAACAGGGTCTGGCCATTTGCTTGCACGATTCACGAAATGTGCAAAACCAATAATGACCACACTGGGTGCCAAAACCCTAGACTCTCGGCCTAGACCTGAATCTCCCTGGCGTTCAGCTTTCTGCAAGTATTACTCTGTATGTTGTCACATGGCACACAGCAAGTTACCATTTGCAGTCGATCGCCTTGATAGTGTCTTCACATGACGAATGGTGATGTCTGCAGCCATCGTAACAGTTAGCGCAAGAAAGACCCTTGTTGGCGGCCTCCTCGGCAGCGATGTCCACGACCCCAAAATGGACACCACCTCAGCCGCTTAGCTGGGAAGTCCCGAAGTTGGAAACTTCGAAGCAGATGTCGTGGCACTGCGGTAACGCTGCTCAGCGGCGCTGCTTCAGCAAGGCTTTGGCCTAGCCACACGCTTCAAACCAAGAAAAGTGCCAAATCAAGCGAAATGACTTCAGAATGGTACTGACTTCTGCAGAAGTGCCTTGGCGCAGTAGGCGCACCCGGGGCGGCTGTAGATGACTACGTCCTGGGTTTGAGTAGTTTCTGTCCAAACAGCTCCTTGGACATCCGGTCTTGAGTGCGAGCCAGACTACAATCTTTTGCGGTTCTGTTGCAGTCAGGTCACTGGTGCAGAAGCCTGCATGGCCACAAAGCGGGCTCTGCGGAGAGACGGAAGGGCGCTTTGCCTGACATCTGGTGAATTTCCCTCCTCAAATGAGCTTTCCTGCTCAAATCCAGACCTGTTTTCACACAAGACGTCAGAGACAATAGCCATGTGCTAACCACATGGAGTGTAATCTGCACGGCATGAGTCTCATTCCCAGCGTATGAATGCGGCATTCGTGACAAAAGCCTTCCTGAGTGAATGTGCACCATTTGCAGCGACGGCTAGTGGAGTCTGACCAGGCACTGCAAGAAGCAAATGGGGCCTCGTCAGAACTGCCCCAGCAAGCAACGCTGGAGCCGCGCCCGAGACTGCTGCTAGGCGCGACTGCAAGGGCTGCAGCGGTGGCGCCGCCTCCGGTCTAGCTGTGATCTTGTGATGGGGCGGGGGCTGGTTGCAAAGTCAATTTGTCCTCCGCCTTGCCTGCGGGCGGATTGGGATGGGCCGCGGGCGAGAAAATGAGGCCACACGCATTCTTGGACACTTGGACAAAGATTTGGGGCTCTAGCTGACATGATTTCGGGGGCTTGGGGCTTTGCAAAGGAATATTGCGGAAGCCATTTGCATTGTGTGAAGGACAGCTCTGCATGTCGAACTGTCAAAACGCTGCACCAGTGCGAGCTGAGTGAAGCATTGGGAAGTGTGCCTTCTTCAAAGAGTTCAATCTCCCTAGGAGGCCAGATCCAAGCTGCCGGAACTGCTATTCGTGTCGGCTTCATTGCACCTCCCTGGATGGGAAAGGCTGCGGGAAAGCCTGGCAACTACGATTTTCTTTCGTGCCCCGTGGCTCGCAAGAAATTCAAGGCAGGTGGATGCACTTTTTCCTCAAGAGCCTTGCGCATGCCGTTTGAATCATCTTCACAAGTCAGCCTGGGGATCCAAGTTTATCAATAAGTCTACAAATCATACGTACTTGGGGCCCTGAAGTCTACACCGAAACCTACTTTGAGCTCTTTAGATCCCCAAGATGCGGCAGAGACTTGGCAGGCCAGGATCTTTGTGCAGAAGGCCTACCTGAGCTGCTTCAGCTTCCACATTTGGCGTACTGGTGCCTAACAGGCGTTGGGCAGCAAATTTTGCTACAACAAGCGAAGTGCATGGGAACTATACAGAAATACTTACAGGGATCCCCATCCCCTTAAGCACCAGCAAGCTAAGGCAGACACGGGAGGCTGAGCACGCACTTGCTTGCGAGCTACTCCACATCGAAGAGAACACCTGACAAACTTGCCCAGTCGCCAGCATTCCTGAGTCTGGGCATCAGGACAGTTGCGCTATCTGGGGATTTCCTGTTCGAACGGTTTCATCAAGAACACAGGCGCTGCAATCAAAAGCTCAAGTTTGGCTCATCATAGACAATTCTGACTGCATACTCTCTTGTTCTTGAACAGCTTTTTAAGTGCTGCTGACAACAAACACATGAATGGGTGATGGTGTAGCACGTTTTGCAGCAAGGTGCTGCTGTCAGGCTATAAGGCCCAGAGGCAAATTGAACAAAAAGATGTGGCCATAAATGTCAACGTCCAGGCGATCAATGCTGCCGTGTTTGTTGGCATCGAACACCTTGGACTGTCGCAGGTCTTGAGGTCTGCTCGGGCACCCGTTCCAGGGGGTTCCACTTCTGCGATGCACTTTATCTCCCTGGTGCATACTAGAGAAGGAGGCCTCGATGTAACTTGCGCAAAGTATGCAGCTGCTAGATCTGGACCTGTGAACGCCAAGTTGCTAGCTTCTTGTTAGGCCGGCAGTCTGCTGGCAGCGTTGCGGCATGATTGTCGGAGCCTGTTCAAGTGCTTGGGCTGAAGCTTTGTGCACGTAGATGCATTTCACTCCCTGTTGAAAGCTTGAACAAACTTCAGCTTCGTAGTGAAGCTGGACACTGCAAGGCACCGGCATTGGACATCCAACATCTTGACAGCGGCCTTTGTTGATCAGGCCCTCGAGCATGCAAATGCCATCGACCACACGATACTTCGCTGGAGCGTAGCCGTTTCCATAGTTGCTCCAGCCATTCCTGACATGCAGCCATCAGCAAGAACCACTTTGGGACATGGGCCGCAGGAAACTTGCTGGCTTCACACTAAAAGCCCTGACAGCTTGATCTTTCCAAGCTGCTGAAGAGGAATAGGATAGCCAACAACGGTGGGCGAAAACACGATTCCGCTGAGGCTGATCCACCCTTTGCTCTGACCTCAAGAGACCGAGCACGCGCTCGAACGTCAAGAGTCCTTCAGCTAGGCCTGTGGCATTAGGATCCCAAAGCTAGACGATTGTAATTACCATCTCACGTAAACTCATCGCGGACCAACCTCCTGCCACCCATTTGATCTTGCCGTCAGTGTCGACATCAACGCGAGACGGCCTTGGACAGGAGTGGACCCAGCACACCTTGCTGAGCTGCGCCACGTGAAGCGCAGAGTACAGGTCTAGGCAATGCTGCTTTCACAGGGATGCTTCTAGAAGCAAGCAGGCTTGATGGAGGCCTTCTGCATGCAAACAAGCGTCTGCACCCCGTTATTGGTGTTGAAAATCAACCTCCCATCTGGGGGGCGGCAGTCTTCAGGAAGATTTGCCAAATCCCCCCAGGCACCTGTGCAGATGGCACACACAGATGGCTACACTTGGCGTTGTGCAGGGCTGCGCCTCCTTTGATCAGACCTTCCACGGAGCAGATACCGTTCCGCACCTCAGATACGGTACGGACGACAGGACCCTTTGTAGATAGCTGCACTTGAGCTCCGAACTTCCGAACGTGCCAGGTTATTGCAAACTTGAAGTTTTCTGCAACACCTGCCTACTACATGCAAGCTCTACACGCAGACCCGAGCAGCGGTATAATCTGGCGACGCATACTCACTGCCCCAAGCAACCCAGCTGCCTGCCATTTCAGATGTTAAGCTTGCAAGTCTCCACATGGACATGTGACTAGAAACTTCGAGCAATGCAAGGACCATGAGCGGCGTACATGCTTACCTGGCTACCTGGCAGTCAGGCTGCCTGCGAGGGGCAATGCAATGTGCCCAACGGTGTCCGGTGCAAATGCGATTCCCGCAAGGCTCCTTGGCTGTCCGAGTCACTTTGAATGGGGCTGGGGGCATGCACATCTTACCACTTAAAGCGAGCTTCTGATTTACAGCTTCTTCCAGAACTATGACCGAAAGCGTGAGACCCTGCTGGTGAACTGCATGTCAGTTTACATCTGTATACGTGAGCGCCATAGGAGTGGCCCATCTCGCCCTCACAAAGCCTTCACAACAAGACGCGAAGGCAATGGAACCCCACTCTGAATTTCGTAGCCGCGTAGAACAGATTCTCGCTCCTATGGTGATTGCAATCATGCATCACCCAATGATGGTTGTTCGGTCCGGCCATATACATCACTCCACCGCCTGGCGGGCAAAGTGTCAAGACTCGCGGAAGTCTGGCTGGAGATTTTGCGATTTGGCTGAGTTGGCCCAATAGAAAAGCCACAGTCTTGCACCCTACATTCGGCCTGTCGTGACGTCGACGCGAGCTGATCCCGCGTTGTTGTTCGCGTGGAAAACCCTCAGTCAGTAGTACCAGCACGGGCAAGGAACAGACCGACGCTTCTGGGCATTGCTGGGACAATGCTCTCATCCAGGCTTGATCACTGCATGCAGCAGGTACTAGGAGATTGAGTTTTGAAATCTGAGTTTAATAGTCGAGAAGTCCTTGAGTGTAACGTGTTGCACTCTTCAAGAAACCACTCTTGTTCCTGTGAATGCCCCACTTTAAAATGGCCAAAGCCTGTCTAAACGTCCTGAGAAGGCCGGCAGAACCAGGGAGCAACACCAAAAACGGAATCAAGGCACAACTTCTTCGTGGGCCGGCAGCCTTCAGGTAGCTCGGCAAACCACTGGGCCCAGTCACCTCTGCTGCCATGTGAGCTATAGTCTAAACTCCTGGTATCCCCCTTAATAACCCCTACAGTACTCCCCTATATAATCACCTATACAATCCCTTTCAGGAGTTTAGACTATGGCTCATGTGGAAAGCACGCCCAAAACAAATGCTGCATGCAATGAGCGGCGCCTGATTAAGCAACATAAGCAACTGGTGTCATGTAAGCACGCGAGAAAGAAAGAGCCATCAACTTGAAGCAAGCAGAACAAACCGCCCACGCCTTTTTATTTGCAAAGGCTGCTTGATGTCATGCAATGTGCACCCGGCCTCCGTATACCAGGCCCTCCAAAATGCATAGGCCATTCCTGACTTTGTTTTGCGCGACAGCACATACACTGAATGGAAGGCGGCTCCCCATCAGAAGACAAGAAGCTTAATGCTGAAAGACACCATGCCAAAGTCCCAGCCATAGTCGCTCCAACCTGACAGCTTTTTAACTTTTGCCACGGCTACCATGCATGGAAGGGAGAGATTCTCAGATGTAAATCCACGTTGCAGACATCTGTTCTCCACGCGAATGGTCGTGGCGCTATAGGAAAGTACCAAAGTATGCAGGGCACTCGCATGCTCATTCAATGATCATTGGCTTTGCTAGGTGGGTGTGAGGCTTTCTGCTTTATCGTCGAACAACTTTATTGTCTAACATCTATCATCAATATGATTCACATTATTGTGACTATTTTTTGGTGTGAAGTGGTCAGGGAGTACCACATTGAAGTGTCATACTAAAAAAAAAATTAGGGTACTGTCCTGCCTTTCATGCCCGATACCCCCATGGTCTTGCTTCAAACGTAAAATGCTTGAACAGCTCTTTCAGCTCAATTCGGGGCTGCCTGCTGCACAAAATCCAGATGGAATTTCTGCGCTCAAATGCTGTACTGGCCGCGGCTCTGGAAGATGCATTTTGGGTGGGTTCCACGGCTTTTTCACATGTTCCTCGAGCAGAGGAACAAACTTTGCCTATGACATTCCATGGATGCGGTCAAGCAGCCACCCATGTAGGGCAGCTTCCGCCTTCCGCCAGGGGCTGGGGAGAAGGCAATGCCGCTGAGGCTGAGCCAGTATTGGGTGCTTCTGGCACCTGGGCTCTAACAAAGCGCAAGCAGGAGCCATGTCACCGAACTGGTTGTTCGTAAGGCACGAAGGAATAAAACATCAAATGAAAACTACTCTATCTTGAGGGGTTCTATGGGGGCTGCTTTAAGGCTCCATTCCCCAGTAGCAACTAGCAAGATGAAGCTGCATGACCGCAGCATGTCAATCGACATCACAGTGCCAACACCAGGTACGCTCTGCACTATTTGCATGGTTTGCAAACCAGTCCGGATGACTGGAGTGAGGATTTCAACAACATTTTGCATGCAAGCTGCCCGACACATGCCGAACTTCTCCATTGGCATAGACCTTGGCTGCTCCTGCCTGGGACACTTCAAGCTACGCAGCAAGTCACCGCCTTGGGCAGCTATAGTAATGGCTTTTCTAGCTGGCGCTTGGCAGGGAATGACGGAATGGATCCCAAAATCTTTAAGTAGCTATCTCCCACAATAATCCCTACACATAAGCCTAAAAGCCATTCTGCAAATCCCCAGTAAATTCCAAGGAGTCTTTGATGGAGTGCACGGCTTGCTCGGCCTTGCCAGGGCACCTGCACCCGCGGTGCGTCAGCACCCTGATTCATGGTGAACCTCGGAGAGCAACTGTTGCTGCGGACAGATACTGCAAGCGAATCTGTCAAGTAATTGATTTTCACTCATGTAGGTATGTGCACATCTGCTGGCACACTGCACCGTGCAAGTGACAGAGCCACCGCGCAGTTGTGAAGAATTCGGCTGCCCTGAAATCCTCTGCTCTATTTCACGAGAAGTCATGGAAGACGCCATGCCGAGAGGCGAGAGGTCCCGCATTGGCCAGCACTCCACTGGTAGGTAGGCAAGCACCTGTTGGAAAACAAGATACTGTCGCATGAGCCAAACCCTTGATGCTTCTTCCAGCCAAGATTACGTCAACACAAGGAGCGAGGCACTGCGAACTCTGAGACTGAAAGCCTTGCAGAATCGCATGGGAGAAAGATCTTGCCTGGTTTTCAACCATGCTCGAGTAGCTGATCAATCCTTCCAAGATGCCTTAGGGCGGTGCAGGTCACTGACCAGCGCCTTTTGGGCTATCAGTGAAGGGTTGGCTGGCAAGCCAAGAGTTTCTGATGATGATTTGAACAGTCTCTCAATTCTGCATTCTTCTAGGGCGGGACAACGCTGAGCCAAACCAAGGAATCTGGCTGAAAGTCTTGTTTGTCAGTCCAGTCTGAATTTTGCATGCCTTGGAGGATCAGAACTTTCTCTGTTATGACACGCCTCAGAAACCTGGACCAGGGAGAATCAGAATCACTGGCTGTCTCCCTAACAACATCCAAAGCACACCTGCAGCTTGGGGTTGCAGTGCTTGCAAGATGCAGATGCCCTCGATCAAGCTGTAGGTCGTCGAGCGATAGTCGCCGCCGTAATTCCAAACAATACCGGTAGAGCCTGCAAGGTCCAGGCTCAGGCACTTGCATGCAATTGCTCTGTAAAACTTACACTGGCTAGCAGGCTATAATGGTAAGGAATCTCTGCCAACTCTGCACATGGACTGTCAGCTGCCCCTACGAAGGGGGAGCCTAGTTTCAGTGGCAAGGTCTGCTCTGGGTCCGTGGAGAAAATGATACCCGACAGACCTTGGGAAGCACTTTGAAGAGGCTGTGACTCTTCTTATTCAGACTGGTCTGGGCTCATCCGTTGATCTCTCTGGGTTTCCAGCTAGCGAAGTGGTGCGTTTTGCTCCCGCCGACATACCCAACCCAACCATCCGTGCCAACATCGACTCTCATTGTGGCATCCTGGCATGACGTTGTCTGCTGACGTGCCCTGTTTCCCGTTCATGCTGAGCTAGGACGCCTCGTTGTTCATGTTGAAGATCCTAGGTTGCTGAGCTGCAGACTGCTCTGAGTGAGCTGCGTGGAGTCTGCCCGAAACTGTGTTGGCGCAACTGTTCCTTGCCTGTAAGAAAGCGCAATTGCATCCCAAGCGGCAGTCGCTTCTGTGGGCGGCACTCTTCAGGCAATATTCCAAACTGCGACCAGGAGCCATCCTTCACATGGCAATTTGCTGGCAAATCCCTGTCAGGGGATTACATGCTACTTGCAAGCAGCCGGTCCTTGATGAGTCCGCTGAGTATGCATAGGCCACCAATCACTCTGTACGTTGCCGGTGCCCAATCTGGTGCAAAACAGCTCTTGGTTCTCCAGCGCTCGGTCAAGCTTGTCTTTGATGTTTCAGGTTACAAGAAAGTACTGCAAGTGCTGGCAACAAGCATCCACGAAACCGTGGACCCTGCCTGATCCTTTATTCTTCCACCCATTGACAAGCCTGAAAGTGAGCAAGCTGGCATGCAGGTTCCACACCAGCCCAAGGCACATGCAAACTTGCTAGTTGTCTAAGAAAGACTGGAGGAATGGCTACAGCCTCTATTCCATTCCCTATGCCATAACCTAGATAGTCGTGTCCATGTTCTTGTCTGTTCCCAACTGTCAACCAGTATTTCGATGGTTGTGTCAGCTGTTGCAAGAAAGATGCTCCAGTGGCCAGCCGCCGTGGGGTGTGAAAAGGATGTTCGAAAGGCTTAGCCAGCTGGAGCCCGAGCCTGACGTTCTAGGGCATTTTTGGGGGGATCTACGTATATACATAAACGCAATTTTCGGAACTGAAGTCCACTAGTGAACATCCTCAAATAATACCTACTGCACGCCTTAAATTCTATGATGATTGCCGACTTTGCACGACAAATGCCATAGGAAAAGCCTGTAAGGGCTAGAAGACAGGAATCGATGCATGATGCGACAAAATCCCAATATCATGCTCACCACTCCAGCCTCCTCCATGCCACATCACAGAGCCGTCTGTGTTCACATTGACTCGTGCCATGCTGCTGCCTCGATTCCTTGGGTTCCAGGCTTCTGAAGACTCACTGCTTCAAAGCTGGGTTGGCTGATGAACGAAGGTGAGTCAAGCCAGAGATTGTCCGAGCCAGACGTGGACGATTCCATCAGAGCATCTTCTTCTCACATTCGTGTCAAATGGATTTTTCTCACATTCAACATTATGAATGCTTCAAAGACTTTCAATGTAGACGTTTTGTGTGTAAGACCTTGTTTTTAGCTTGAAATCTCCTACACTGCCCTGGTGGGCCTGTTTGCCCTGGCGGGGCTCTTTTTCCGGCGGACCTTTGCGCCCTTTGAACTTCTGCTTGCGCTGTAGATCCAAAAGCGAATTTCTAATTGGGATAGGCGGTCTGTAGATCATCTAGCGGCCTGTGGCAGTTTTGTTCTGGCAGGCCTTTTGCCCCTTGCCTGGGCATGGAATGGCAACTTTCAGAGCTTCCTGTCAAGTTTATGAACCACAGATTGCCTACTCACAACTTCGCCAGCCAAGACCAAGCTGATGGGTGATGCCGTGCTTTGTATTTAACTCGCAGGTGGAAACACGGAACCTCGGAAGGAATTCCAGGGCCCAAACGGGTGTGCTCGCACTCCAGAGTCAGGGAACGCAGCAAAAAGATAAAGATGCAAGTTGTTGCAAACCCCTACGGCTTGGGACTTCTGAAGCCCGAGGTTCACATTGAAGACCAGGCCACCGCTGGGTCGGCACTCTGTAGGCAGAGTCGCCTCAAGCGGGATTGGGAAGAATCAAATGGCAAATGGGATGGAGAGTTGCTTGCAGAGGATGTGCACAAACACGGTGTGCTTGCATGTGATTCGTTTTCGTGCCACGAACTCTCTGCCACTGTGTGACAGGTTGGGGTGTACTCAGAACGAAGACGGAATAATGAGCAGCATGCTTCAAAGGCCAATGTCTACATAAACAGTCTGATGCGTCCACAGTGTGCGAGTAGGCACCTCAACAAGCTTAAGCTTGGGACGCCGAGCTTCTGGAAAGAGACAAAGAGCTTAGCGGCTTAGCGCAGCTTGGCCAAAAAGCTTTCTGGAAGCTGCCATGCCACAATACGACCATGACCGGGACCATTCACCTCAGTCTTTATTGCAAATAGGCTTCTCGTGTTGAACATGTGAACGTTGCCCCTAGACTGGGTACAAGGGCGTCTTGCACAAAGCGCGGATCTTGATGCTCTCTGGCTTTTTCAACAACTGTCACAGCTTGAAATGCCCAGAGGGCTGCCTCACTGGCGTTTCCGAGCTGTCCATCAAGGCGGCCCGCTTCTTGGCACTGGCGCAAGATGGGCAAGTACGCTTCTGCAATGCAAGCTTTGTGCTTGCCCGGGTGAAAAGTAGTCAGGGCTACTCGGAGATGGCATTCAGTCGCTCACCACTTTCGAGGCTGGGCCGCGAGCAAGGTGCCACGGTGTGGATCCGAAAGGGAGGGTCTTGTCCTCCTAAATCCACTGCGATGTCGACCACTAGAGGTGCGGCCATTCCGAGCTGAATCTGATTGACGCCCACAAACTCAATGAGTGTGCGGACCACACGCCGGAGTAGCACCAACTTCGCAACATCCGGAAAGATCTGGCGACTCAATGGCCGCTCCTCTGGAAATGCACTGTCAAAGTTCTGAACAATCCATTGTAAGTCCTCCTGTGTTGGAGGTAGCAAGGCAATCTTCGTCTTCTTATCAGTCAAGATATGCAAGTGCCCCTGGATTCCGCGGCTGAACCGTTCAAAGTGGCTGCGGGTCAGCGCTGATCCCGCGCACAGGGCTTCGAAGAGCTGTTGCAGCTGCGCATCCAAGTCCTCACGTGTGAAGAGCTGTCGGATGTGTTGGCGAATAGGGGAGCCTCGCGGGAACTTGAAGGCATCCAAGAAGTCTTCCCAGGACTCTGACAAGCGAGAGTACGAGTAGACCACCCCCATAGTACCAAAGATGGGGTCCGAAATGCCCCGCGACCTTGGCTGATTTGGGGCCCCATCAAAGGCCTTCACAACTGAGTCACCTACTGCAAACCTCTTTGCCACCACGTGAAGCTGGGAGCCCGTACAACAACATCATCAGCCACTGCTCGCTGCTCGCAAGAAGCAGCCTTTTTTCTTAACAGATTTCTTCATATGACCAAGAAACTTTCGGAACGCCAGGTACTGGCGCAAGGCACGGGATACAGCTGCCGCAAGAGCGAGAAGAATTACGCAAACAAGGCCATGACGCCCTTGGCTCTTCAGCCACAAGAGCCATCCGAACTGACGTGGTGCCAGCTTCCTTGGGACGCGGGCCTCCATGATCGCACGCCTTCAAATTTCTGGCCTGCACTCTTTCAAAAGTGTGTGTGCTGCTGTCTGCCTTTACACCCTTCAAAGACGTTTGCAACACTCATCAGCAAAAACTGCCGTTTGAATGACAATCATGGATAGGAAGAGAGTTTGATGGCATTGTTTTGGGACTCGAACGAAGCCCGTGCCATGGAGCCAGCCGTCCGGCAAAGCCAAACTGTATGGTGCTATGTCGGCGTCGTCTTATGATTGGCTTCCCGCACGTCATTTACCAAGCAATCCAACCACAAAATACACGAGCCATCACATGCAGCAGATGCAGAGGTGCTTAGAGAAGTCAGAGGCGAGGTGCCAGCGCCTGCACGCTGCAGATGCCGTCTCGCAGGATGTAGGTCGGGCTTGAATAGCCTGAGCTGAGCATGGTGTGACCGGGCTCAGAGGGTACAGGATGCATAAGGTGCTTGCATAACCCTGCTGCCCTGCTTGACAGGCTTCGTGCTCTATCTACGTTCTACACCTTACCTTGCAGCTACCAAAATGAGCAATCAAAAAAATGGTTTGTCGCTGGGCAGGTTCAGATTTAGCTTTGCAACCCCAGGGCACGTCTAGGTCAGGTCTTAGACGGTCAGGCCTTGGGTCTTTGAGATTTTCGGTCAGTAGAAACAGCTCTCCAGTTTGAGTGCATACGAACAAGGCATCGAGTCAGCCCACAAGGACTCTCAGTCAGGGAAAGCTGTCCAGGATGCCTGTGGAACTGTGGCTGCACGGGGTCTGTTGCCAAAATGCCAAACTCAGGGCTCAGGTAGGAAGACTCTGGCCTCTGCGCCTTTGTGAGAAAATACGACAAGTCGGACCCTTCATTTTTATTCATTGCAAGGTTGCTGCTTCGAGTTGTAAAGTGGAAGGTTCTGGGTTGTTCTTGGGCCTTGAGACTGGTCAGGATCACTTAATCCCCCTCCACCCTCTGATGAACACCGCCTAGGTGCTAGGAACGTCACACGTGCTAAGCCTGGACCTTTCCCTAGTAGGGGTAGGTAGTAGTGAGTAAGGGAGTAAAATCTCTGTATAATCCCTGTATGAATATTTTATGTTCCCTTATTCCCTAGTAACCCCCAGTAAGTTTCTGATATGCAGGCCAGGCTCCGTGACCCCAGTCTGACCACCCAGAAGCCAGCGGTAGGGGCCCTGGCCAGTAGCGGAATGGTCATAGTAACGCTCCTAGTACTAGCAAGAATATTAATGCTGCTGTCGTAGTTCTGGTGTTTGAGGTGAGACTTCTTCGGACTCACTTCGCGGGGTCCAAGTGCGCAATAGTGGCTTCCCCCAACAACTACGCTATAGTTCCCTTAACCCAAATGCAAGGTACTTGTTTGCAAGTGATTGACACTCTGCCCGCACAGTATCTATGGTCATATTCTCCCATATACCCATAATAATAATAGCATGTGCGCCCATCATCTTGGGTTTAACGAACATCTTTTACAAGTATTTAAGAGGTCTAGGTCTGTCAGATAGGAACAGAATGATCCTGTGCTTCAGCATTGCCAGCCTATCACATGAGTTGGCGGAATGTATGGCTCCAGGTCTGTCGTGGAGAAAGCATCCACCGCTTTCTGCTTGCTGGCCTGCAGAGCAGTCATCTCCCAGCACCCGACACCATAGGCCCGACAACAGCCATCATTAAAACCATGTTGACACCATCTGCAACAGCAACATCCATGAACTGGCAAGCAGGCCCAAGCAGGGTAACACGTTCTTAACGCCCATCATGCCAAGCCTGGCTCAGCCCAAACGCCCGCACGATTATTTCTAGACCGCAAACATGGGCAACAAAAGCCTTTCCTCTTCACACAGGGAATCTCCCTAAATGTGTACGAGCAATCGAGGATCACTGCCTGGGACATGAACGGTATTGCCGCCAGGACGATGCGCAAATGATCGACAACGTTGAGCCTCAGGAACATTTTCCCTTCGCTGAAGTCTCTTCCAGCCTTCATGCTGCATCCGCACTCTCGAAAGAAGACAGTTTTGTGCCATGACCCTTTTCTTGACGATCACAGTGCCTCCTCCTCCCTACTATAGGCCTTTGTTTGGGGCTGCTGTTTCACACCCTATGTTGTAGAATATATTGGAACTATCACCCCTATAAGCCTGTTGCGAGATGGCCCCGCAAGCCCGTTACAAGTCTGGCTTTTTGGTGTGCATCTAAAGTCAAGAAATTGATGCTCACGTGTTCCGAGCTCCAAATCCATAAATACCACCCTGTTTGACCCTGAAATCTACTAGTTTCGGCTTTGTGGGCTTTTAGGGAAAAGTTTGACGTGCCTACGCCATAAGCCCCAAACAGTGTGGCTGTTCAGGGATTACTTTGGTCTAGCCAAGGCGCAGCGGGATGGTCTTCTCCGGTGAGGGAATCGGGCCGAACCTTGTTGAAACATAGAGGAGAGCCCAGCTCCATCAATCCCTTTTTCAAAGGTTTACAGGGGTTATCAAGGGTTTGGGGATCTTGGGTCCATCTTAGAAGGAGGATCCCCATGTGTTCCCTACAAAACCCTAGGGAAAGAGACCACCAAAATGTTCAACAGCTCACCTGTGACTGCGGACAGTGCTGTTTGCAAGCCAAGCGTCTTCATCTGTATCTTGAGTTGCATCACGCCGGACTGTGCATGTTTGATGGATTTGGCGGGTGTGGGGGCGAGTCAGTCTGCAGGCACACGCTGCTTCAGCCGGATATGGATACAGGATAGTCAAACAAGCTCTATAGTAAATACGTTATAGACATCCATACGATAGCCATAGGGTCCTCATTTTGGGGCCTGGTGGAACCAAAGCAATTCTGGCAGGGTCAACACAGGTTTCCGCGAGTGAAATCCTTCAGGATAAGCAGCCCGAGTCGCACCACAAGTCAAACGCCACTTGTACATGCTTTGACCTTGTTGTGACCGTTGAATTTTGTAAGATTTTTTAGAGGAAGCCCAGAGCAGCATCACAACTTTGCCAAGGGCAGAAGCCTCCAACTCTCCAATCACGCTGAAGCCAACCAGTGATGCCGAAGGGCTGCCTGAGTTGGTTGCAGAAGCCAGAGGGCACTGAAAAGCCCAAACTGGCTGCAGGTTCTCGACCGGTTCGAGGAGAGCGTTAATTAGGAATTTGCAGCCTCAGGGAAGGGGTGTTGGCTAGGAACTTCTTCTTCTTCTTCTTCTTTGTCTCATCGCATCTCTGCTGGCTTGCATTTGGAACAGCACTCCACTGCTTCTGAAACTCACGTCGCTGACCTGAACTCACTGCGTTGCAACATCCTAAAGGAATGCTTGCAAAATTTGGCAAGGCCTTTGCAGTAAAGGTGCTAAGCTCAAATAACTCATGCTTTCCCAGACCTTGCTCTTCCTGGCAACAGGAAGCAAGTGAAGAGAGAGGTCGGCACGTTGGAGCAAACTGAGCAACTAGTGCATGCCACGATTATTGCTACTACCATTGCCCATGAATATCAGGATCTCTCTTCTACCATTACAAGTACTGCTATACGATTACAACTTGAATCCCAATTTCTTCCTACCTCAGCCTCTTGTAGAGCGCCGAGCTGACGGGGCCTGGCTCAAGCAGTGTAAACTTGTGAAGCACCCGCATTTTGCAGGACCTTGGAGGTACAAATGGGTTCGGGAACCTACTTATAAAGGGTAGATTTTCCAATGGATTGAAATAATACACTGCCTGACTCCAAGGTCCCTCAAAGCAATCCATCCCTACCACACGGCATGGCACGGCCCCGCACCGTGCCTCATGGCGGCGCGGACCCGTGCTGTGGCCTTGCGAAAACGCTCATTGGGGGCTGATGGCGACTTCTTCAATAAAGCTCCAAGGTGCCTCCTGCCCCGAGAAACGCTGCGTTATGTTGACGCCCAGCTGCGCATCGTATTTAGCTGAAGCAAGGTAGAGCTCCTGACCATGTGGTTGAGGACTGCGGACTAAACTACTGAACCACTACCAAGACTGCGCAAGGACTGGGACCAAGTCCTCTGATTTATAAAGGCTTGATATGATGCAACTTGTGTGAGGCAACTGCTTCAAAGTCAAATCTCAGAGCTTGCGCACAAACAGAGCCTCCTGCTGTGGATGGAACAGCACCTGCATCAAAGGGATGTTGCTCCCAGCATAGCTGTGACGTGCTGTCTTGCTTGATTTCACCTGCTGTTGAGTGCTTCGAGAAAAGGTCCTTTCTCACAGCATCAACTTGGGAGCTTGCTTCACTCTATGTGCGAAGCCGCGAGACCCCCTTGCCTCTTCAGATTCCTTGGAATTTCTGTCGGTGCTGTTTTCCACCTGCCCAGTTGAGAGCTTTGGCTTCAGCTGTCGTAGCAAGGAGTGACAGCAAGCAAGATGTGCAAAGTACAGCACTAAAACTGCCATCAAAGTGATGCATGCCGAGAATACATACTTCATGCAAGTTTGCTGTGTCAAAAGTAACTATGGCGCGGAGGCAACACCTGGTTGAGCGCGGTTCGCGACATGCCTCCAACAGAGCTTGATGCTGCAGGGAGCCCTCTGAGCGGGTTGGTGCTTTGCAAACGGCATGCCACTCTTGACTTTCTATAAGTCCTACATGGGTGAGTAGCGTTGCAAGTTGGGCCCATGGAATCATTCGCAAGCAAGCCATTCACCCCAAACGCTGCTTGGAATGCCTTGCAGCGACTTGTCGTCATCACTGGCAGTACCCTTGCCGAAGTAGTTCCTGGCGCGCTCCACGGCATCCTGACATGAAGCGGTTTCCGGTCTGCTGTGCTGTGCCGCCCTCTGCGTCCTTGATGTTCGCTGATGTGAAGCCCGTGTCACTCCCAAACCGCTTGTGCAAACGGATGGTGTGCCTCAGCTGTGTAGGTCTACCTCAATGGTTCACGGCGGACTCAAACTCTGTATGCAAAGGCGCTTGAACAGCACAATGCCTCCTGTCCTGCAACTGCTCAACATTTAGGCGGCGGCAAACACACACTGCAGTTTCGGGGTAGCTGGTATTCAGCACATCCGTCACTGCCGTTGCACTCCGCTGAAAGTCTGATACTGAATATTGCCCCGTTGGAATGGTTGCAGAAGTCAACACTCTAACAGTACTACTTTCATATGCAGTCCTGATTGTCATCACGATGAGGCTCAGGTCTGGGGCAGAAACGCGGTCCGGCCAGCAAACCTTTCACTTGTGTTTGGCGTGGAACACATCCAATAACTGTCATCTGGATTTTTCGTACCCCAAAGAAGGACCGGACCCCCCAAATTTTTGGAGACCTGCATGTAGCAAGTGCCGCCACCTCTGTGGTCACCTCTGCAAGAGGAGCGGGCATGAGGTCGAACTCGAGTCCTGAGCTGGATTCCTGTCCCGAGCTTGCCGCTTCAAATTTGACAAAGGTAGACATCGGAGCACAAAGTGGCAATTCTTGAGACAATGAGATGTGCGATTTTCATTTGTTGTCTGGGCTGATGGTCGTTGGAAGTTGGCGAGAGTGTTTAGATTCAGGGGTTAATGTTGACGTCTTGTCTTTGGTGAATGTGCTATCATCTCCCTCCGGCACGAATCCAATGTCTAACCTCTGCATATCTCCCATGATGTTGTAGCCGTAGGACAATGCATGGGGTAGGGCAGCTGTGATAAGATGAGTCCAACACCTAAACACAATAATAAAACTAGCAATAATAATATCAATGCTAGTAATAATAATAAGGGATTGTTTTGTTACCCGACAACAACTGGCTTGCCCGGCGTTGGCCAAGCAGCCACCCACAAAAGCCAAGGTTGGCTGCACCGACATGCTGTAGGAGATGGCCACGCACCTTTGCCGATTCAGTGCAGGGGAGATGACGAACATCTCCGCAAACATGTACTGAATCAATCACACGACGAGTCTGCACATTGAAGCCCGCACATATCCATGCGTATGAGATCACGCTACTCACTTTGTATCTTGATGGTATTGCCTTAATGACATTTCGTACAGAAAGGAGAAATCGTGTCTGCTGCACTTAGCAGCCTAGCAAGCATGTGCTCTGGGTCATGTTGTTGTTGAGGTTGAAGTGGCAGAGAGCGTCGGCATCCTCACTCAATGAATGGCGGCAGCTTTTTGAAGCCCAAGACCCAAAGCTTTTCGATTCCACTCCATGACCCGTAAACCCCTATAGCACAAGCCTGTGCGCAGGCCTGTGTCGGTTCCCGGCCCAACCACAAACCTGCACGGGCCTGTCTATTTGATGATTGCATACATGCAGACCTGTGCACAGTCCGTGTCCCATACAGGGCTGCACGGCGAACCAGTACGCAGCTGCAGGCTCTGTGCTCTAGCCTTGGCGCAAGAGCCTGCTCGCAAGGGTAGGAGGGCGCCCCACTTCTTTGTGCAAGGAGGATAATGCAGGCCAGCGCACAGGACAAGGATGCGATATAATGCGATCCAAATGGGATCTTCGTTTGCGGCGTTTGTACAGCGTCGAGAAAGGAATGCAGGCAACACATCTTTATGGATTAGCCTTAGTGCCGCCGAAGTGCTTCTCAATCACAGACTCGTAAGTGTAGAAAGAGTAGCCTGTGCAATTGTCCAGGAAGGACATGGACGGACATAACCCAGTCTCCGTGTCTAACATCGCCCTGTACGTGTGCTGGCTGCTTCACAGATTTGGTAACCAATTGGCGGGGGCTTCAAACAAATCTCTGGAATACCAAAGGACACCAGCCTTCCCACTTGTCAGGGTTGTCCTTGGCCCACCTTAGTGATAGGTGAAGCAAGCAGCATGAATGGACCTTCTCCTCTGCCTGTACGTCTGCAGGCTCAAACGGAGATTGTTGACTTTCTCGGACGAATGCTTGATTTTGCAGGAAAGATTTGCCATTGAAGCGTGTCCTCGTGTGAAATCAACAATGCAGGAAACAATCCTTAGATTGCACCATTCACCTACCTCCTTCATGCCATTTCCTGCCATGCTCAGGAGTTGCTGGAAAGTCTTGCAACACACTTGAAACGAGCTTTATTGTCTTGCACAAGTATTTGCCGGGAAGCATTTCAACTCGCAAAAGAACTCATTGCCAATAGGTTAGTTGCCTTGTGCGAGCAAACTCTTAATGGAGAGGCAGAACCCAACGAGCATAAGTAGGGCTATGCAATATGACAGGACGAAGAGACTATCAACCACATAGATTTGCCACCCATGCTTGTAGTTGCTGAAAATTGCTGGTTGTGCCATTCCGATGTCGTACGGAGCAAGGTCTAGCTTCCAGTAATTCCATGTGGACTTGCTTCGCATCTGCCTCAGGGTGCTTCCTGCCTCGCGATGCCAGGGTTTCCATGCTGCCAGGCTGCTGGTTATCGCAGGGCACAGCCCATGGCTCCAGCTTGACGAAATCGTGGCTATCAGGGCTGGGTACCTGTGCACTGTTTTGAAAGTCGCCGAGTGTTTTGGAAGTGGGTGGGAGCTTTCCAAACCTATGGCTGTGAGGGATAAACACAGGCCCTGTTGCCGTCTACGTAGCTGCCCGAACCCTTTGGTAGAGCCTTGCGCATTCCATCCCATTGGAGGTGTTGATAACTCTAGATACCATCCTGTTGTGAGGCTGGTATACCAGAGGGACAGCCCGTATCTACAACTGTGTGCATTGAACGCTCAGATCTCAGCTCTAGGGATATCACCTATCATACATGGAGTTCAACAAGCCATGCCTATTTCACCTGAAGAGTGGGATTAAGACCTCTCCTTCCAGAACGAATAGCCGTGCCGGGCAGTGGCCTGCCAGTCTCGTTTTGTGACCTTGCCGTCGGCACCTGTTCTGTGCCTGCCGGGAAGCAGAACCCTGAGTAGTTTCGTCTGCATAACGCAAGGTGTTTAAGTTATGCCTAGCTTTTTGTGGGAGCCAAGGCGCTTCGGTGCGAAGCCCAGACAGGAGCCAGAGTCAAACTCATCGCCCCCAAACTGCCTGGGATTCTGAGGCTTGCCAGCTTCAGTTCACGGACACTGAGTCAGTACTCTACTTCAGCTGCAGAGCGCAACCAGCAGCTCCAGTCACCATGGCGACCGCACTTTCATTGTGTCTCTCTTGGGTCTCGGGGAGAATAGAACTGTTTTCGAGACCCTGAACATCTCAAATTGCTGGCCATCCGGCGTGATCAGCATTGAGGCATACGGCATGGCCTACCGCAATGGAAGGACAGGGCTGCAAAGCCACACACATCAAGAAAGCAGTTCTTGGCTGTGAATTAGATCCCAGCCTCTGTGGTGGCGAAGCCAAGCGCTCCCGTAGCCATGGTATCCTAGGTGATTTGGCTCGGCTGCAGCCCAGTAGACTTGCCCCACTAAGTGCAACTCGAAGTGCAGATTGCATCCCAAGTTGCATCTGGCTCCTCACGTGCGTGGACGCTTGCATTCGTTTGAACCTTATGCACAGCACACCACATGGATGCTGCGAGTTGAAGGCTTATGCAGTCTAGGTACCATTGTTCTAAATTGTTGTAATCCTAACAGTTTGACAGGGCATGTGAGGACGCCTGACAAAATGCTTTGGCGAGCTGCATGCACACGTGGGTTTTCTGGCGGGAAGTCTTACCATGATAGCCCAAGCCTGCGAGTAAGAAGACGCCGCATAATTCTCGCAGAGACAATCACCGGAACTCTAGTTCGTATGGTGCCAATGACTCTGAACAGAAAGCTGCAGCTTGGGTGTTGGCAGAGCTTATAGAGGAATATATCTGCAGCAAAATCATTGGGTCTTGAGTGGCTGGGTGGGGCTCTTGGACTCTTGGACCGAACACGTGCTTCCCATTATCGTCAAGGCACGAAGGCGTCGGCTTTCTTGGGGACCCTTCTCAGGGACTCATGCCTCAGATCCATTCTTGACATTTAAGGCAACTGCAACGGCATGACACAGATGAGCACTTTTGCCTGCGGATGTGCGCAGAGACGCCCCGGCGGCTGTTGACCAACCTCGCAGTCTTCAATGGCTTCTAGAGGTAAGTCAGGTATCGTACGCCACAGCTGTGCTTATGGATCAATCTGGATGATGTAGACCATGCAAGTTCAAGTTCCCAGCTCAACATTCAGTGAGTCAAGTTGGTCCAACTTTTGCACATGCGCAAGCACTCGCAGCAGGGAACTGGAAGCCGTGCAATCACTGACATGACAGCTTCAGGTTGAAGAATGCAGCATGCGAAAGCAAGCAGAACACACAGCAAAGCCACACAAAAGCCCGGATTAGGGTTCAATTGCACGCAAATGCAGCAAAGAAGACGGATGCGAGACCCTTGGCCTGGGAGGTTGTCCACTTGTTGGAAAGGCTGACACTTTGACTGCCTCTCCAATCATTGATGCCGGTGGGCCATGTAAAGGACTAGTAACTGTTGGCATCAATGCATAGATCAAATAGCCGAAGGACTGTTGCATAACTCCTGAACCACAAGCTGAAAGCAGGTTGGCACTTTAAGCTTGGGCAGGACGTCTGCTACAGTACTAGCCCGACGATTTTGATATGGTAAGCCCTGAGAATTTTCCTGTGACATCAAGTCTTGGACGTTCAGATTGTCGTAGCCCTTGCTTTGAGGTGCGAAAGAGCGGGGCCACTAGTTGCATGCTGGGCTTACTGGTGCTTAGCAGGGAGTGGGGCAGGGAACATGGGTGCTCCTTGCCATCATAGGGATACATCATGTGGTGCTTCTACAGGGAAATCTATACGGATTCACCGCTTTTCCATCCACAATGTTGGATATTGATATCTGCTGTTAGCGACTGCGGAGTTCTAAAGCGCTGAGCAACAACATCAGGTTGCCAACGCCATCACCAACCCTAACAGTCTAACACCACCGCCAGCAAAAACAGCCGCAGCACCCAGCAACCGCCACTTTCTTTTGCCACGAAGATCCATTGATCATGTTTACCTGTGCTGATACTGAAGCACTTCTACCAAAATTTGGCAGTTTGCGGAGTGTTGCAGTGCCTGAGATGTGGAGGGTAGGGCTGAGGCAATCTTGCCCATTTGCGGCAGCTGCCAGGGAGACCAGAAACCACTGAAACAAATGGGAACTGGCAACAACACAAGATGCATCGCCTCTTGCACCAAGCTGGTGGTGTCGTCCAGGGCTGCAGTGATTGCCGTAGAAGCTAGCTGGGCAAAGAAGGCCAGGAACCTGAAAGTGATTCAGAAGCAGCTGATCTCTACGCCAGGATTTGCAGAGTATGATCTCTGCAATTTAACAGGCAGTGAAAGGCTCGGCAGATTTTGAGTGCCAGCTTCCAATGTTCAAGATCATAATTTACGAAGCAAGCTCATGAACTTTCAATCTGTTACAGGCTCCGCTGCAACCGCAACAACATCGTGGCCAGTCAAGTTTCCCTCTGCCCCTTGGCGACAAGGAGCTCGGACAGCATTCTGGAGAGTTGCGTAAGGATGCTGAAAGGTGGGACGACCTGTCTCTCATAGGCTTCGCAGAAAAACTCATTACACACGGAACACCGCAACTGGTAACTAGCTGTTGCTGTCTGCCGACACTCTATACGGTGTCTGCAAAACCGCCGTCTGCTGAAATTTCATGGCGGCTCTTTCCCTGCATGTTCCACATCTGCAGGCTGCGGCTTCACCGCAGCAAAGAAGAGGCCTGAAGCAGAGTTTCGCCGATTGAAACGGCCACGCACCTTGGTGAACGGAGAAGAGCCCTCTGCCATCACTGGAGAAACCAGATAGGGCGCTTGAATACATCAAACGCTGGGCCGCCTCCGCTGATACCTGGCCGGCAGGCAGACCGCTAGAACTACCAGTCTCGTCTCATTTCCCAGGGCCATAGCAGGGCTCCAGTTCCATTGTGATTGTTTCTTGAGATGGACAATGGAAATGCTTTGTCCCAGTGTTATCACAAGCCTGGCCGCAACTGTGGTTGCAAGACTTCAGCAGAGCACAAAAAAAGCGACTAGCTATTCCCTTGTATAGTGCGTGCCCAGTCACAGTTTACCAGGTTGCTCCCCAGTGCCACCATGGCAGCGATCGGCTGGGGGTAGTTCCTGAATTTCTTTGCTCCAGGCGCTTGTACGCAAGCCAGCCCAACCATGCCAACTGTGACAGCGGCCAAGAATAACCACTTGAGCAACCATCCTGAATAGCAACATCCGCAAAGCTTTGTGTACAATCCCCTATAGTAGTATCTGTTTCCACTACCCGTTCAGCACCAGTAAAGGGCAAGGCACACTGTGAGGGTGCCCCAGTTGAAGTCGAAAAGGGTCAACCGCTGGCCAACCAGTACCACCTCGCAGGACTGCCTCGTGTGCGTGATCAGGGAATGGGCGGAGGGACGAGAAAATGTAAGCTACTGTCTTCTTACGGTTGATCGAAACAGAAAAGGAGCGATGCAGCCTGTAGTTGTCTTTTGGGAGGTATACTATAATCCCTAACCCAAGCGCTTCTGGATGCCCAAGGCTTTGATTCGAAGTGCCTGCCGAAACCCACGCTGATTCCGGTGTTGGAGACCTCGAAGCAGCTTACTGGTAAAAAACACGAGTATATACTGTGGTGCTTACTGTATATTAGTATATACGGCCTTTATGAGATGAATGGGAACATGTTTAAGCATCCCAAGGCCAATCTAATTTCCTGTCAAGCTAAAATCACTTGTCTGGCCAAGGCGCATCCAGTGTAGGCCATGTCCAGTGAGGGCCTTAAGTGTAAAAAGTCTTCTACGCACCTGAAGAGACCTGGTTGCACACACCATCCTCTTGAATCTGCCATGCGCTTCCACGAAATCTCGCTGTTCCCAGGCACAGCCAGCCGAGAAATCAAAGCCACCCAGAAGGATGGCCACGGCCTGGGACTCTTGGATGCGGTAGGAATGACGCGACCTGCTGTGCATTTCATGGCCTGCTCCACAGTTGTAATGACAGTGTTGGCAACAAAGGCGACCTGCATGGAAACACAGGGTGGACTTCAAGACGGCTGGACTTTTGTGACAATCGACCCACAGGAAGACCGCCAAAACAACACTTCAGCATCAAAGCCTTGTCCGCTGCAGCAACGTACGCATCGGTGAGGGCATCCCCGACCAGCCCAGTACCATCCCTGAGTAGCTGAAGCGGATGTACCATGTTCCCGTGTTCGCAGGTTGAAGTTCAGGATGCAAAAGAGGCTGTGTTCTGTAGAGAGGATGTCACACACAGAAGATCATCTAGGGAGCTAGGCACTGGGCATGTTGCTTGGCCGTGGTGCAGACACTCGGCAAACGACACATTCGCCTGCAGCATCGCGTGCCGTCGGCCGAGCTTTCGTCCGCAGGGACCACCAAACTACAATGCCGGCAAGAGTATGGCCGAGGGTTCTCAAAATGGCAGGGCCCAGGATACACATGAATTACACAGCAAACTGCCCCTCCCCCCCTATCTTTCCCCCCGTCCCTGTTTCAAAATGGCAGGCTCCAGGATAAACATGAATTACAAAGCAAACTATGAGGTCTGGGCTTATTTCTTTAAAGTCACGTGCAGGTGCAGTAGGTCACTAGTTGATTCCAAGCAGCGTGGCAACGTCGGCTGTGGCATCCACCACGTCCCCGACGCCATCACCCACGCTCTGGAGAGGATCAGGCACGTGCACAGCTCTAAGGAAAAGTGTTTTTGAGATTGATAAAGACTTCCAAGTTAGGGCTTTGCAGCAGCTGGCAGTACTATGTACCAACGGTGACTCTTCGCGCGCAGTACCAGCAACCCAACCGTAAACCTTTGAGTCTCGCACAGCTACTTCCACTAGCCGGTTCTACTGCTTGGGATCATCCAAGGGTTTGCAGCTTATTGCTGTGTGCCATGGACCCGGGCTCCTCGCCAACGTCAACGACATCATCCACAACGGGAATCTTGGAGGAGACCGAGCTGTCGAGCTCCTGCCGCCGCCAGCCCTACATCTTGGCGGTCACAGCAAGGCTAATGGAATCTCACAGCAAGCTTTGCTGAAAGCTTGCTACGAGCCCTGCCTTGCCACCCTGCTGGCTGCTGCTGCTGCTGCTGCTGCTGCTGCTGCTGCTCTGACTGCGCTGAGCTCTCTGTCCCAGCTTCTGGGCCAGACTTGCTCCACCTGCACAAAGCCACAACTTCACGGCAACCAAGCAGAAGCTCTTCGAAGGACTGAGACAATAAGCAAATGCGACAACAGAAATCTGCCCGGATGCGTACCTGTCGTTCTTGAAGAGTTGCCCTGCTTTTCGGCATCTGTCGGCTGTGGTGGGCTGGAGCTCCAATCTTTCCTGATTAGGCACACTCCACTCCGTTAGAGAACATGAGGCCTTACTGTGGCGGTGCTCAGAGGTGGGAAAGGGTGTTGGAACTCAAGCTCTACTAGACACCGTCTTGATACACAACCCTCACGCTCAGTTTCCTGGAAGTGAGGTCTTTGTCACTTCGCGCCACCACCCGACATGAAGCCACTCCCAGCTTCTGCAGGAACAAATCGAATGAAGAGGAGCCCGTGGCAATAGGTCTGACTGAAGGCTGACCTTCTTCAGGCAAGTGTCCTGTGACTCTGCCTATGGTGCTTCCGCAGTACTTCCAGCAAGATGCTTTGCCTTGGGCTGTGTAGCAGGACTTCTCTGAGCAGTTTGAGATCTCGGGTGTGCTTGGAACTCCATGCTTTCGGCATCTCGGAGCTCACCAATTTCTCAAAACACCCAAAAGGAGCTCACGACTCATGTACCCGCATACCCCCCGTACACATCACAGTTTGCCTAGACACCCCTTGTTTTGGCGGTTGAAAGCCAGTGTTCCAGGTATCTAGGTACTTGGGTAGTCCATCGTACTCACAGCGACCTACAAGTATCTCTTTGGGTATTGCTCTTGGCCAGCAAGACACTCGAATGCAAGCAGCTTGAAAAGGCCCTGCAAGTCCACGGCATCAGATTGAGATGATGCTGCCGTACGCGTTTCGTCAGTACTCAACTATACTGTTAATTATTATGATTATTCTGGGGCGGGTTTTAACAGACTGTGAAAAGTTACACCACAATACACGCATAACAGCTACCACTGGAAGGATCCCACCCATAAGTATGTTGGACCTTAGGGGATGGATTGAAGCGAGCAACGCCTTTTCACCCATGCGCTGTCTTTGCCTTTGCTGTCGCTCCGGGCCCTTGTCCAACCAGGCCTGACTCGCTCGAAAATACTCATCATACTCTGTCTATATTATATAGGGATTTCATATCGATTTCATTCCCTTATTCCCTGCTAAGGACAAATAAGTTAGAGTTACCCTAAGAACCGTATTGACAAGACTACTAAAGCCATTAGCAAAAGGAAAAGTATCAGCAGCAAAAACGCCTTCTTTGAGTAGCATCAAAGCATGTTGCGGCACGGTAAGTTACACCTGTACGAGATATCCCACGCACTCAAACACACAAGTTGGTGACAAAGCTTGCAAAATCCATTTCGCAGGAAATCTGATTCTCACATGAATCCTACCATTGACTTCAAGCCTCCCGGCTTCTTGAAGGCACTGTCATTCCTGGTTCTGAGGCCGCTGCCTTCCCCTAGCCCTAGCTGCTGTGACCTTTGGCCTTCCCTGAAGGGTCCAAGTACCCAAATCGTATGTAATAATTTGGGCTGACAGGTTCCACTTCTGGATTGCGGTCCCGCCTTGCGATGCCTCTGCTGCATGGGAGGAGGCCTGTCGTCCAGTAAGGCTGCCTCAGTGTGTGAAGGAACCTTCCTTGAATGCGTTTTGCAAAAAGCGAACCACGCTACAGCAAATATTTACATGATCCTTGGGATTCTTGGGACTGTGACTACCTCATACCTGTTCCAAAAGGAACCTGCTGACGGTGCAGTCTCACTGCAAAGGTTGACAGTTGCATGCTTGCAGGCACACGCTAGCTGCTAGCTAAGATAGCCCATAATCGCCTCTTGCTTTGTGTGCACTCCAGGTTTGGGTTCGGGACTTTTTTTGGCTCTGTCTGACTGGCCAAGCGAAGGTGTAGAAACGATAGAGCTCGGGACCTCTTCAGAAATGTCGACGAGAGGGCAGCAGGCCAATGTGGAACTCAAAAGCCGATAGGCCACCCCTGCAGCTTGGCAGCCTAGGCCTGAAACGTGGAGATTTTGCACTCCTGCATCCCCTTCCCTGAATTTTTGTCCAAGCTACGTCCGCATCATGATGTGCAGGCTCAGCTGCATGCTGACGGAGCCTCACAATGGGTGTTCAGACCGGACGCTTGCGAGGCAAAGGTATGAACGGAGGCGAAGGGAACGTGTTGATACGGCCAGAAGAGAAATTTCAAAATGAAAATGGCAGCTTCACCCCCAGAGCAGAAACAAGCTGCTTAAGTTCCTTTTTCGTACCAGGCGCTTTGCTTGCAGTTGCCGGAGGGCCGCATCCTTCTGATCCAGGCGGTCTTTCCTCAGATGATGTGGGGGACATCATGCAGCTGTCGTTGAAAGCTGCCAGCTTGAACTCCATTTATTTGGGCTCGAAGAACATCATGGCTCTGCTTGCTGCCGAGAAGCAGACCCTGTATCTCTAGCTGTGCCTGCCTGACCGGGGTCAAAGTATCTCTTAAGGGGATGAGCTCTGGAAGTTCGTGAGAGGTGTCATCACAGCGTGCCAGCCAACTACGAGGAGTCAGTCAAGGCAAGCAGATGATTGAAGCTAGATTGTCCGCGGTGGCATGCCCCACCAAGTCTTGTCTACACTAGCCCTACCGTAGCTGCACCGGAATTTCTCAGGAAAACCATCACAACAGGAGAGAAACGGCTGATTAGTGGCACCGCCTCTACCCAGGAAGATTCATTATCCGAACAGAAGTTTGGGGTTGCGAAAAGAGCCAGAATTCTCAGGTTCACTAGAGCAACGCAATTAGCTCTGACAGAGGACCAGCTTGCAAATCAAGCGGCTGATGGGCAAGCTGCAACTCAATGTTCCTTGCAATTGGACCAGGGGCAACGCAAACGAGGAACATACACAGCTTTTCTCGAGCTACCCGTATCGGAGATCCATTGTCTCCATTTGAATTGGGCCGACAACCACGAATGATGCATGTGACTTCAGAAGCCAAGACAATGTTCAACAAGCTGAGTGATGGCCACTGTGTGCACAATCGGAGGTCGACAGAGTTCTGTTTCTGTTTAGAGTTCTCATTCTAGTAGGTGCCCTTTTATCATCTAGGATTTCCAAAAACGGGCCAAACTGTTGAATCAACTCAGAGGCTCTGCAACTCTACCGCAGTCTCGAGCTCTGCTACCTGGCAATCGCCACAGCCATAGCGGACATTTTCAGAGGTTAGGGGCCCTTGTAATGAGGACTATAGTATATCTTCCCCCACTGTTTCCACCCCCATGTAATTCCTTTTAAGGTTGCTACGGATCGTTATGGTTTCCTTGGTATGGGGTTCTCATGTACCCCACCACCCAAGGAAGAATTACGTATTGTTCTGAGCCTTAGGGTAACATTCGGCAGGTAGTTTTAATAACAAAGCTACTGAACGGCTGCCAGCAAGTACCAAGATTTAGATGCCTTTCGCCTAGACACCTTCGCTGACTTTTGGGTTGATAGGCCTGTAGGAGGGATGGGAATCGCCAGAGGGTTCCAACAAGCCATACCTGACTAAAGCTCAAGTTGGCTCTGATGAAGGAGGCCTTCAGGTATAGAAACTCCAAGCTTTGCGCCAGTCGTCCCAAACCAGTGCGGTTCCTTATGCAAGGCCAGTGCTTTCAAGTGCAGGGGGCCATGGATACAAGCTTTTGTGCCTGTGGCTTTCAGAAATCCGGCTTCCATGCGTCACAGCGTCTGCGGATCCGAGTAGTTGCCTTCTGGGTCCGGAAGGTTCTGTGTCTGATTGATGTCAGCCAGGAGGACATTGTTCACCAGGTCTTGCAAGCTCTCGTTGACCTTCGCATGACGATGTCTGGTTCCCGACGATCGTGCATACACTCGAGAGGCTTGCCAAGAACCAAAAAAACAGCATGCATGAACTTGCCTGGCCCCAGGATGTGTTGGACGCGCTTGAGATATTGGCACTTGGATCCTGACTGGCGCGCAAGTAGGGCTCTGAAAATTACACCTCACGTCCATGCCCTTGCACAAGTCTGCATGAGCTTGCAACTCTGCAAGTACCAAGGTCGCCTTCAGACCCTCAAAGATGTCCTTGGCAGCAGAGCTGTCATCTTGCAGGGGTGACCCAAGTCCAGAACATCCCTATACTCTGAACATATCTTCACCAACAGCGTTTCCCCTTTTCTCCAAGCGAGGTTAAACTGCAGGTGACAAAGCGTTGTGGGAAGTCAAACGCAAGTCCAACAGCTTCTGAACCAAGCCTGATAGCAACCGCAACGTCTGCCGGTTCGTCAGACTGAGTGCAAAATGCTCTAGATTGAAACCTGGTGCCAATGCTAGCCCTTGCAAAGCAATCGCATGTGAGCGGCGTGCACCGTCTCAGTCTCCAGGGTCTCGATGACGTTGCGCGCCGTCTCTGCCTGTCTCGGGATGGGACTTGACTGAAGACAGGAGCGCTCCTACACGCATACTCAGATCCGCTTCTTCGTTAGAGCCAAGCCCACCTTGACTGAAAGCAAGGCGTTTCCCCTCGGCACCTCGTGTCTTTCACCTCGGCCATGGAACAGCGTGTGTAGTAGCTGGAACTTAAGTGAACACCACTTCCGTTTTGGTGGCTTTTGGACGAAGCCTGCGTTTTGCTTCATGTTTGTTGTAGTCAATATGACTTGGATATCATGCTCATTGGCTCCTGCACCTCTTCACTGCCAAGGCGCATGAAGAGTCTGCATGAACCCGAAGGAGCCATGCCAGCGGTAGAAGATGTACGAGAAAGCAACCTTGTGGGGCAAAACTTCGCCAAACCTGTTGTGCACAACCAGCTGCCAGCTCATACTTCAAGTCTATGTGCAGAGACCATTGTGCCATGAAGAGCCATGTATGGTGCTTGGTGATCTTCAGCCGCGTGGCGTCGAGCAAGCATGGCAGCTCACCCGGGCAGTAAGGAAGCCGAGCCGTGCTGTCGGCTGTTGTGCTTGAGGATGAAGAGCTGCAGAAGCATTCAGGTGCACTCCGGTCTATCATGGGTGGCACTATAAGCTTTGTCATTAAGGCAGGCTGCCATCTTCTCCCCGCAAGAGACCCTGCGCTGCTAACTTCGAAGTAAGAGACTCAGCCTTCCATGCGGGAGCTTCTCAGGAAAGGTCTGAAGAATCCTCAAGTAGGATCCTCATCATCCCAATATAGCCCAGAGTTCCTTACGGGGTGCTCCAACTTAGCCAAACCCCCGTGCATCTTTTTCTTACCAATCCTGCTCAAAGTTTTCCTAACACAACCAGGCGACTGCCTCTTAAGAGCGCCGTGGGTTTGCTGCTGAAGGTGGGCCGCTTTTGTGTTTTGGCTTGCAAATGACGAGTCACATCATGATGATCCTAAGGGAATATTGTACATTACCTGGCCGGAATTTTCCTACCTAGCTCTGCAATCAAATCACAAGGGTTTTGAGTTTCTGGTGTGGCAAATGCTTGAGGCGTCTCACCCAGCAGCAAAATCTTAAAGGACACAGGCGTGACTCTTGATAGGACAAGGAGCGAGAAGTTCTCCGGCTTGCATCAAGTATGCCGGGCGTCGGCTGGCAGCAATAACCAGAGAATCACGTAGAGTAGTGGGCGTGGCGCCTTTGAGTTTAAAGCCTTGCAAAAGCGCAAAATAGCCATGAAATGTTCATAAGTGCAAACACTTGCTGCAGCTTTTCAGAGGATCTCTCGCCCACAAACCAGGGATGCGTTGGGCGCTCGGCAGCCTGTTAGCATCTTGCAGCACAGCACAAGTTACAAAACAATTTTGTATCGTACGACTCCATCCTTTCTGTTTCTGCGCTTGGCCTTCAGGTTAGCAAGTCTGCAGACTCGCAGGAGCTGCCGCAAGATGAGCTCTGTCCTTCTGTTGAAGTCTACTTGCATTCAGGCCCATTGCATTCTCGCTACGGCTGTGACCACAACCCTGCATCCCCTGCTCAATGAACACAGTTTCTTTCCTTGCCTGCAACAAGGGAGGCTTCTGTACTGCATGTTGGGGAGGCGAATATTGATTTACAAGGTCTTTCACCCATCGAGTTGGAGACAAGAAGGGCCTTTCCTCCCATTGCAGGCAGTAGCGGCGTTCAGGAACACCTATGCGCGGCTCCAAGGAAAAAGACCCGGCCAAAATCCATTCTGAATGGAATGGCGCACTGTCTAGCTACCTTGTTTCAGAGGTGGTCTTCTGCCTCGTCTCCGCTATACACAAAGCACATACGCCCTGTAGTGCTGTTAAAACTTGCGCTGCCAGTCCAGAGACCAGAGGAACCCTTTCTAGCTGCCAACTGTTTCTCTTAGAATTGAACTTTTCATGCTGAGTAGATGGTAGGGGAGGGGGGGCGTACTCTGACACAACTTCATTCAGCAGATCAGATCTATCTGCAGCTTCAGGCTTCCGGTTCGCGGAATATGCGTGCAACGCTGCAGACGTCAAGCATGTCAAGCCAAAGGTTCACGCCTCCAGTTCCTGCACCTACTCTAAGCAGATTCCAACTGTATACCCTCAGGCGCCTGCAAGCGAATCTGATTTTGACATGCTCCACGAATTGGCTCAGAAACGGCAGGAGGCCCCATCACACAGGATGGACACAGCACGAGGGCTGCGTCTTGAGACACATGCCTTGCAATGTGACCTTGAAACTACAAAATCTAATATGTCTGAAGTACTGCTCAGCTACAGGCTCCTTCCGGCAATAGAGCCCCTGCAAATCACGAGACGGCAGTCAAAAGCTACGGCTGCGGAACATGTCTGGTGTCTCGCTGCAGGAATCTGGGTTTGCAGCGGCAAAGCATAGACAGTCATGTCCACCATTTGAGCTTTGTGTGCTTGCAGGTTTTGCACTTCGAGTTAGAAGATCCCGTTCTCAGCGAGGACCAGGACAATGTCACGCAGTGAGGGAATGTTCCAAAATTGAGGTCGGCGTGGTGATGATAGCTCATGTCTGCAACGATGGCTTATTCACACTAGCCATTCTGTGTAAACTGAGCAGAGTTGACCTTCAATTTTGTCAAAGACTGGGAATGACCGCCGCATGTTGAGTCAGGGCAGATGTGAATGGTGAGCCAACGACCTTGTGGAATGCTCCGCTGAGAGACTTCGAAATGTATGTAGTCATGGTTGATTGGCTGCTGGTATGAGGGGCCATCCTGTCAAACCATGCCCCTTTGAGGTCTGATGCACATTGCTTCATTTGTGTACCCAGACCCGCGAAAGGATAAAACTGGAACCCCCCAAACTAACCCCATTGCTACACTGGGGAAACTAGGGCATCACTAGGAGGTTCCATTTTTCGGATTTTTTAGGGGGTCTGTGTAGGTGATTGCGGGCACCTTAACTCAGGTGATGTACGCTGCGTGATGAGGTGCAGGCCGTGGGTCGAAAACATCAAGGAATTCACAAAACCACAACAGGGACCCAATGTCCACCCTCAACGGTCCCTTGCTAAGCCGCCTAATATTGTCAGTAGCTCATATCATGGCTGGTCGCGAGCGTTCTCAGCTCCAGACTGGAGAAACAAGGACGTGCCAGGTAGCCCCATACAGGCTGCCCCCTGCTCAGAGTTTTGGAGACAGTCTCCAAGATTCAATTTTAACAGACTCCACCACTGTTTTAGGCCCAGGCTGGGCCCTGACCGCGCCTCGGAGTCGAGCTGTACACGAGTCGTATGCACGTGTGGTAGAGCCATGGCCTCAGAGTGCTGGCGCGAAATAATGTGCCTCATCGGCAAGAGGAGACCTCTTTAATTCTCATGACTTCCGTTCCTTCTCCATGACTTGCAAGGAAACGGTGCCTGTGGCTTTATCATCCCACAGCATGCTCCTGCCTTCTCAGTTCTTGCCTTTGCCTCGCTCCTGTCAGGATAGTCAAAAAGCCAGAATTCTGTTACAGAACGATGGAGCAGTCCACGCCTCATGGCACTCACGCGCCATGTGGCCATGCTCTCCACCTCAGCATGGGCAGTGGAAGATGTCCTGCCTCTGAACAAGGCTCAAAGAATCTTGGCTGTGGTTTCTGCCTATGAAACACTTGCATACTGTACAGCACGCAATCCAACTAATTTTCCCTGGAGCCTCAGTTTGACATGTGCGGCAGCCCAGACCAAACTATAAATCAAAGAATACGTTGACTGACAGTGGGTCGTTCGTTCTTTCAACAGCCTACCCCACAGGCATAGGGGGATGCATGCATCCAAGATACAGTTATAGCAGGAATCATCCTTGCCGCCTTGGCTGTTGATTTGCACTTCGGAGCTGGCAAGTAGAGCTATGAACTCGCACTGCTGTGTTGTGGCTATCTCGCGACCATGGGAGAATTGCCCTTGCCTTTCTTCTAAGACAAGCTGCATGAAGAAAGACTGGATGCCTACAGTGGCACTTGGCGCTTGGAGGTCCAAGGTGCGGCTCTTGCCGAAGCCCTTGCCCTTGCCACGGGATTCCGGGCAGTCGCGCGAGATATGGCCAGTCCCCTGCAAATCTAGTGCTAGCTTCGGTTCAAGGCAACTCAGCAAGATGCGTAGCAAGTGCGGGTCGGATTCGTTCAGTCTGCTTTCCCTAGCGGTGTCTGGAGTTCATTGTCCCTCCTTCATCGAGCCCCCCGTTTATAGATTCCTGCCCGATTCCGTCTTCTTCTGCATACTTGTGGGGATTCTGCCAACATGACCATGCAAAAATTGGCTCAAGGAGCCTTGCAGTTGTAGCACTCCTGGGCACCATAGCCTCCCCCACGATCCTGGCGAGAGAGAAAGCTCTTCAAGTGTTCGGGCCCACGTACGCACTCCGTCAAGGTACCCGTCACGGCCCCAGTCTACGACATTACTTGTCATGGGACTCACCCAAAAAAGGCCCTACTTGTTGGAGCTCTTGCTAATTAGAGCTATTGAACTGAAGTAGGGAATTCAGTCTGGGGCGACTGCTGAATCCCAAGCCCTGCACTCCCCCAAACTAACATGGAATCCAAAAAGGGGCCCTACCAAGACTACCGTCCTCTTAAAAAGGGTCTGGAGTTCCACATTTCATTGCGGAAGGTATGGAGTAGTGTTTGTTTTGGTGGAAGCCAGCAAGGCTTCGTTCTCCTTATAAGCAAATTGTAGCCAAACGGATACTCCATACTAAATACCTTATGTTTCCATTTTCTTGTTCATTATTCCCGACATAACCCTTATGATTAGCCTATGATATAATACCTTGGGTATTATCCTATGATGTAATATCTTGGGTCGGTATCCCCACTTGGAATATTAGCTTGTTGGCTGGCCTTGCCCTTGCCGTTGGACTCAGGGCACTCGCGGGCCAGGTGACCATATCCTCATGATTGACAGGCTCTTCTGCATGGCGCTTTGCAGGGAGAGGAGGAATGCATCCCTATAGCAATCGCTCTTTATTCCCGATCGTGAAATCCATGGCCAAGTCCCTCATGCAGTGCTCTAAGTAGTTCCATCTGAAGAGTGGCTTTTAGTGTGGAGCTGTCTCTGCTCAATGCTTCGCATGAAGACAGCAGCAGTGCTGCTCTATTCTTGGAGTAATTACCTCCCCTAGATGAAAACACTCCATTCCCCTGATGATGAGCCTTCTTTGTGTAGTGCGACGGAATTACGTGCTGATTGCGCGTAGTTCCTGCCATTTGCGAAATGCACGGGCGCGCAAACATACCACTGGAAACTCATGTTCGGGGGGGTGCAAAGGTTCATGTGTACGGGGATGGGGTTACTCACGATGCCCCTCAGGGGTTGGCCACCACAGCTGTAGCACCCGTCGTCGGACTTGCCCTTGCCCTTGCCGCCGCCGCCACCTCAATACAAGGCTGTGCCGAGATCACAATCCTGGCCCAATACCAGTGCGAATGTGTGTTCCTTTTAGATTTTCCGCCGAAGGTTGTAATGGCCATGTGAATAATGTCTTGAGACAGTTTGATCCATTCGCATAGCTCCTGCGCCGCTGCCGGTTTGATTTGCAAGTGCCAGCGGCATCTCTAAAGACTTCATGAACCAGTAGGTCATTCTTCGGTGAATCCCTCTGCAACGAAGATGGCAAACCCCAACCAAATACATGCTAGTCAGATGAGTTCAACTGGCGACGCTGCTGGGCTTCGGTTGGTCGGTTTGGGTCCGGGTACCTCGAACAAGCTGCCCGCCTTTCTCACAGCCAGGAGGTCAGGTAGAGGACACCCCGATGATGGAAAGGTGCAAGGATTGATAGATGAACAAACAGCGGCTGCACGGTAGGTAGGCAGGTAGGTAGGTAGGTAGGCAAGTAGGGATATTGGCTGAAAAGTCCAGTGATGTGCAATCAGAAAATTCAAGAGCGCCTGGCATATGCGTTTATGCTCTGGTCTCTTCTCGATGTCCGACATTCAGCACAATGAGAGACCCTACAAAAAAGACACGCATAGAAAGCTGTGTGGTCCTATTTAGGGTGCCCTTTATTTTGACTTTTAGTATTGTTATTATTAATTACTCCTATCTTTACTATTAAATATTTGATAATATTTTTGTTCGTACTATTATTATATGTTATCTTATTATTAGATATTGCCTCGCTCTTGGATCAGATCGAAGTCTTCAGGCCGGCACCCTTGCGCTTGCCTTTTTCTTGCTGCCTGCCATGAAAGCCCAGCACAGACCCTGTGGCCCTGTTACGTCTCCCAGCCACACTGGATCTCAAGCCACCCGCTACTGTTAATTGAAGAACTCCCATTCAGAAATGATGCGTTCGAGACAAAAAGCCACGCGCCTGTGAAGCGTTTGCTCATGGGCTTCTTCAAGCTCATGCTTGGTGTTCTCATCCATCTCCTGACCAGCCGAGGCTACGAGGGATAATGTTTGGTGATTGGCCTGCTAACTACTGATTACGCATGCTTGGTGCCGGGGTTGTGCACGAATTGAACGCATGAAGCATGGGATAGGGCCCTTGCAACCTTCCGCTCTGCGTGGGCAACGCCCTCGGGTAGCATGGCAACGAGGGTGCTGACCTCAGCAAAGGCTTCTGAAACATCCAGGTGTCAGTTATTTTACTGTCCGAATGCGGCACCGGCTCATATGACAGACTGTTTGCCCAAGGCTTGACAAAACTGCTGATGAACATCAAAGATTTTTTGTCATTGTCTTGCTGAAGGGCAGCGAACATATCTCAACAAGGCATTGCAGTGTCGTTCCGCAGAGCTTTTGTTTAACATGCGTTCGCACGGGCTGTGATTTGCGGGGCAATACGCTGTTTTGATCTTGCCCATGTCAGGTTGCATAGTTTTGTCATCTACACAGTTTGCAATCAGAAGTCAGTGCTTGTCTCAGTTGCGTGCGTCCAGTCAGAAGGCAAGCCTGCTGAGTTTGCACGCCTACAGCTTAAATTTTTCCAGGCACTTGGCCACCTGACCATCTCTAAAACACTCTCTGCTTAGTCGGGCGCACGAAGCTCCTAAGCTGCCCAACTGGTGACTGATTCTGACCTCCAGAATGAGGCTATCTGGCAGTACGGTAATATTTGCGACGTTGCGAACGGTCAAGGATGGACGCGGCAGGTTTGGCCAATGCTCGTGTTAAGATTTGGGCGCGGCAGCAACATCGACATAGCGATCAGAAGGGGATTCAACTTCATGCCGCTGAACACATGTTTCAAGCTCCAAACACATCTTCCCTCCAGCTGCGAGAGTGGCGAGGTGGGCGCACGCTGGTATTCCAAATCAACCGGGTAAGGAACTGCGGCTCCGAAGTTCACTTTGGCTTACAGCTGATGCACAGCAAAACTTATACTCCTGTCGCTGGTTTGTTGACTATACCTTGTCCGTTGAATAGGTTTAGGTCTCGACCGCGTGAATGAACTACTGAGGTCCTTTCGGAGGGAAAGGACTGGCGGAGAGAGCGTGACGTCATCCATAACTCAGAGATCACGCCCCTACCCGTACCCTCTCTCAGCACCTATCGACTTAGGCATACTTGCGACAAGGAGACAGTCATATGTTGACAGCAACGTGATATAGTACAGAGACTCTGGGACAGTGTCTTCCACACTCGTCATGATGTGATGGAAGCTAACGGCGACCCAAAGTTTAGTACCGCAGTACAAGGACATTGAAGCACTTGGGAATCTGGATCAATGTTGATCCGCGTTTAATTCGATGTTGTGGCAGAGTCAGCTCAAAATGGCATCCATGACTGCTGCAGTGTCTCTGTAGCTTACCGTGGTAGTACGTACGGAATGGCAGCAAACAACCTGCTAGGGATTGTGCGCACAAAGCATGCAGATGACTGAGTAGCAGGCAACATCGTCAACCCATGCCTGCTCATTGTCCATTGAGTCCCTTTGAACTTTGGAGAATGCAAGTAAGTGTCTCAGGACGGCAGCTACTCCGCCAGATCCGAGCCCTTGCCCAGCGATTAAATCCTGAGCCTGGAATGCCCTAGCATTTGCATACTCCCCTTCGCCTCGCCCTCCGTCTTCTTGCGCACGAGTACCTCCAGAGGACCTGCATGATTCGTGCTGGGGTTTTGCCTGATTTTTTTTCTGCGGCCTTTTATTTGTTGTTTGAGGTTTCAGAAGGAGGCTGTAAATCTGCGCGGCGGAAGCGATCGGTTCAAGAACCAGGGATGTTGAGTCTCTTCACTCTTGAATGATGTTCAAAAATAAGTGTTAGTATCTAGTAGCTGCCCACCTGGGTTGGTAAATGTCGCCATCTTGGCCCCATCAAGACCAACACCTGCCAGAAAGAGGCTTCGCCGCTTCTGACCTCCTGCATGCCTGCGCTATGAATCGGAAACAGCCGATGTCTGCTGGGGCTATTGCTTTCGAAGATGCCAGCAATCCTTGGCTTCATTGGATGGAGAACTGAAACGGCACCTCTAGCAGGGCCCTAGCAAAGCCTCGTCTACCCAAAGGCTCCTATGTTCTTTGTTGTGGGACTGTTACGCTTTGGGGTACAGGCTAACTATACCACTCCAAAACAAACTTCACATGAAAGGTTGTCATGTCAAGTTATGCTCTGTTTTTTAATGCCCTGAGCAGAGGGGATAAAGAGCAATAACACAACTTTTTTTGAGGCCCGGATTGCAATGGGACTCGACTCTGTGCGACAGCGGCCCACTTAGGAACCCCGGAAAGCTTTAACCTTTAACTGTAGGGATGTAACTTCCTTACGAAAAGACCGGAATATAATCCCCTGAGTATCCATGTGCAGGATCAACTACTTCAAGGGGATCCTCTTGGATTCCTCCCCAAACCATGCATTGCTGTCAGGACGCCGGGCTTCCCGGTCAATTCGCACGAATGACGGCTTCTCCTGCAATCATGAGGTTACAGTTGTTTAGGGGCAGCTGGGAAAAGGGGAACAAAAACGGAGGCTACTACGTGAAGACTCTATGGTGGGGGAGTACATGTGTGTACCATGATGGGGATACATACGGGGACTATTGCCAATTTTTCTGGGGTCCACTTCCCCCACCTGAGTAAGTGAAAGGCACGAGGCTGAATGAGTAGCCTGACATTTACAGACCCCAATATACTATAGTCCTGATTATGGCGTCCGAGAAAGGGGCGTTTATTTTGGAAACACCCACTTCATCCATATGCCTTTAAAAAGGGCGCACATGATCCCGCTTCAATCCCAATATAACCCTGAGGCCATCAGGATTTGGGCATGCAGGCCGTCCTTCAACTGGCCGTTCGCCTTCACCCAAGGTTTGCACGGCTTAGGCTGGGCTTGGGTGTCTGCAGCCGCGGGGCTCCCAAGCTGGGATGTAAGTAAGTTTATAAGCATATCCTCTAGTTTGGGCTTTTGTGATCTCCAGGCCATATTTCTGAGCGAATTTGGCTACGTGAGATGACGCTCCGATCTGATACTGGGCTCGAAGCCCTTGGTCGAGTTAGTGGTCTTCTGAAAGCAGCCCAGCTACGTCCCAACCAAGGCTCCGTTGCAAGCGAGTCGCCACGAGCTTGTCGCAAAGCGCATGGGCCAAGTCCTGCACAAGCCCCCATGCCTTTTGACCCGACCTGTCCACACCCACGCCTTCAGGTCAGGACTATAGACCCGCCCGCCATTTCGTGCTACCAAACTTTTTCTATGAGTCTCTTCTGATCTTGGATGCGACAGTAACACGTCTTCAGGCACATTTTTTTTCCGCGGTGACCTCTATCACGCGCCTTGTTGCTCCACTTCTGTTCGAAAGCCATGGCTGGCAGAGGATGCTTGAGGTTTGGCTGACAGCGGGCTGTTGCCTAAATGCTAGCCAAGACGGCAATTTCTGCTTCTATTGCTGCTGCTTTCGTTTGATTAACCCGCTTCCCACGGCAGCTGGAAAAGTACAAGTCTTTGAAATCCAACTTCGTTGCAAATGACAACGCCCCCTGGATTCGCAGAAGAAAAATGACAACATCATATGCCTGGCTGCTGTTGTTGATTCAAATGTTGTGAGGCTTGCTTGAGTTATGCGCACTGTTTGAGGCTGATGGCTCATCTTGCATTCACGAGGGGTAGCTACACAAGATGGGCCAGGACCGAAGCCCTCACGCTTCCCTGACGCGAAGGGGCTTCTGTGCAAACTTACTGCACAGCTGCAAAAATATATCAACCTCTGCATCCTGATGCTTCGGCTTTGGAGGTTTGGGTAGTGCCATGCACAGTGCGGTTTGAAAAAGGCCGCCACCGGCTCACGCTAGTCCAAAGCAGCTGTGGTGATCTGCCTTCTGCAGACCCTGCAAATCTACGAAAGTGGTGCGCGTGCTGCAGTTTGAAATTGCCTAGAGGACGGCCGCGGATGATTGTAGGCTAGCTGCGCAAGTCCCTTAACTGTTTCACATCAGCTTGATGCATCCTAGCGACAACGCCACAGCTCTCTGGCCTCTAACCCTCAAGAACAATAAGACCAGGCGGTTCATTGGATGAGTGACGTGACAGGTCACGCTTCTGGTCATCACCGCCCTGCGAAGTGCGAGGACTACATCCTTCCTGCAACTAGTCTCAGGAAGCCTAGAAGTTGCGCAATGTGACCGAGCAATCGAACCGCTTATACGACTCTGTCTGCACGCGCAGAAGAAGAACTTTGCCCCAGGACATACCCCGAGCGGTGGCTCGATAGCAGTAGCAGTACGCACCCTTTTGCCCGAAGTTTTTTCTTCTTCGGCCGCTTCTTCGAGGTTCTCCGGAATCCATCGGACCTTGCCCTCTGTGAGATCAAAGTACCTAAGATCTAAAAGAATTTGAGGTTGAGATCTCTTTCCAGAGTAGTCGGCGGCTTTGGAAGAGTTCGAGTTCGGTGTGAACTGTGTAATTGTTCTCATCAGGTCCCATCAAACAGGAAAGGCTCTTACGTAGGATTCGGGTCTTGCTGAGAGGCTAGCTGGGCTTGTGCTTGACTGACTCGTCCGTAAGTGGCAGCAGGGGAGTGGATCCCCAGAGATCAAGATCTACACGATCTCACGTAACATAAATCTGCTTACAAACATACAACACTTGGGATGTCTATTTGGAGTTCGACATGTTTTGCCCATCATGGGTAACGGAGTTCTGGGCGGCATTGTGGTGTCTTTTGATGCGTAAAATGCGTAGCATGGGCTAGGTTGGCTCTAGCCTGATTGTTCTGCACCTGGACGATTCCATCTCCAAATTGATGCATACAGATCACAACTCAACTAACCCCAGGGTCCGCTGCAAACCACCCGGCATACCTAGAATCTGACCTAGGCTGGACTGCCTTAGCATTCTGGCAGGCCACCGCTTACAGGCTCATAGACATCTCAGGCAGAAAGTAGGACATTCCTCAAGACATACTCAGGAGATGTCCGCAGAAAAAAATGATTAGCCTTGTGCAGCTAAGCGGCCAGTTCAAAGCTTTCCTTTTGGGGGCGTCCAAAAACTGAGGGTCTTTTCCGGGAGCCCGCAAAACAAGTATAGTATGTTGGGATCTACGTTGCTGCTCTCGAGCCGGGGACATCTGGGACTCGATGGGCTTTCAGGACAAGAGGAGCTGGGAGTTCCCAGAACATGTTATGCCTTTTGGGTCTGCTATGGTTGACGTTTGGAATTACCATGGTGAGATGATCCAAGAAAGAGGCACATACCAGCCCTAGGGTATTGACATGAATTCTTGCTTTCATTCAAACATGTATGGGAGGATTTGCTCTTTATGTGAGAGTGGCAGATCTATTTCAAGGGCCTATTTTGGCCGAGCGAGATGTGTGCTAAAACGTAGGCAGATCGAATTTAACAATCGACACCTCCTCAAGTTTTCCACAAGGAGAGCAGAGGTCAGCTGTACCAATCGAGCTACTCGGTATAAGAAAGACAATCCCAAGCGCCGCGCATGGCATCTGCCCGTCCCTCTCCAGCCCAAACTTCCAGTCCCCGAAGCTTATGAAGACAGATCATTCGGTATATGAGAAAGCCAAAGCTGTTTGCAGCATGGACCCAGAACTAATACTGAGTGCAAGCGACTGGTCGCCGGAAGGACAAGGGATGTTAAGCCCCAGTGAGCTGATGAGACCACACTTGGCAGCGTGGTGGTACCTCAGAGGCTCCTATGTAATTCGTTTCTGGTTTTGCTATGGGGTTTTGGGCTAAGCATAATAGCATGCACCCCGGAAAGGATCTTCACATGATGAGCCCTAGGTAGTTCTGTCTTCTCCATCAGTCTTGCAGCCTATTGAGGCGAGTGCCCCTCACACGGAGCTGGCATCGTCGTTGCCAAGGACGGGGGGTGCAAACCCAAAAGACGGTACTCCTGCACACCCCGCCAAAGGGGCTCCTAGTTCTAGGAAACCCTGGCATAGGTGCAGCCTGCATACTCGACAACAATGACGTCGCGAGATTGGGAGCCTTCTGGTGTCCCCTTGTGCAAGCAGCTGGGAAAGATTATTAAGGGCTTGCTCGGGGATCTGAGTCTGTTAAGATCCATAAGCCTTCAGTGGGATATTTAGATTCCGCATAGAATTTGCCAATAGCCCCAAGATGGTTTTTGAGAAGGTTCCCTTATATCACATTATGGAACATGAAAATTTATCCCGAAGTGCCACCCAGTCAAGCTTTCTTTTATCGTTGACCGTATACAGGTGGAGACTTTCTGGGCCTTGTGGATGGTGTTGGTGTCGAAAATGTAGCCTGTGCCCTTCCTGCAGCGTCGCATGGAAATAAGATTGAATTCGCCGAGCAGGCGTTTGCTCTCCAGACTCGTAGACGCTCTTCTTCGGGGTATCCAACAGTGAGGAGTCCCGTCTATGGGGTCCCTACACACAGGATTTTAAGATGCTGAGATGTGCATTGAGGCCCCCCATTTCATGGAAAATTAAACTTCAATCTCCAAAAAGAGGCGTCCGGGATCTGGGAATCGATTCAGTAAAGTCCCCACGTCCTCCCTGCCAAGCGCAATGTTTCGAAGTGGCTGCGGACGTAGAGGTCAGCGTAACCTCGAATTCTAGGTTGGGTTACACTGTGGGCGTCCTACATGGGCTTGGAATGATGATGATCTGCGCCATCAATCTGCAAGCAAGCTGCGCGACTGTTCGAACTCCTTGCATGGGCAGGGTTTCAGAGGCCTCTGGCTAGCCTTTGCTGCACATTTTTTCAGTGTTCTTACCAAGCATAATTCAAATTTCATGATCCCTGCATCTGCCAGTCCGTCTGCACCTTGTCTACAAAACTCCTCTAGCCATCCTCTGTGATGTAAGGTCCCCGGCCTCATGCCAGTAGTAGGACAATCGATGCGAGCCCAGCGCCACCTGCAATCTTCAGGAGAACCCCCATGCCAGACTGGATGTTCACTTTACGACCAGGTGCTTAAGGGGGAGAGGGGGAGTGAATGCAAATACTTCTCATAGGAGTATTATATGCGGGCTGATTTTTGTTATGGGCAGCCACTCCCCCACTCCGCCTGAAGCACCAGCAAGTTTGCATCTCTTCAAGCAGCTAACGCCAGCCTGTGTTGGGTGGCCCTCGAGCGGATCGACATCGTTCAGGCGCAGGAACCTTGTGGTCAACTGGCTCAGGGAGTGAGTGCTGTTGCTTGATGCGCTTGAGTCCAGCCTCTGCACTTTGTAATAACAAGAGCTGGTGACGACCTGCTGCTTCAAAGCTAGGTCTCCCGAGGAAATGGTGAGGAGAGCCATTGTTCTAGCATCTTCACCTACGGAACCTTGAGCAAATAGCCCTTGCTGGCCCTGGTGCTCTATCCGGCCTTATTCTATGTCTGATGTCGAGATGCAACTTCAGCCGTCGCCCGGCACGGTCGTGATGCCAATGGGCCGAGATGAACTCCTCGCAAGCCCGAACTTTGACTTCGACAATCGACGGACAGAGTCCTGCATGACACTACTTAACGGGACCCTAGGAATTCTGGTGCTGCGGTTTACCTAGAAAACATGCAGCATCTGGTCCATAAAAGCTTCCACCAGCCTTGGTAGTCAGTGTGGATGGAAGGTGCACTACCTGCATAGCAGGGTGCGCATTCGGCCCACACGCCCCGGCGAGGATAGAGTAAACCTTGCATCACTCCGGATCCCAAATATCCTTTAATTCCTATAAGGTATTAAAACATACAGGGTGGTGCAAGATTTTCTCCTGCCTTGTATCCATGAAGCACAGCGCGTCCGCCCAGGTAGGCAGCCACCGCGGAGGCAAGAGCCAAATTCGTGCGGAGCCTGGAACTCTTCGTGACTTCCCAGCCACTTCCCGCGAAACAACGGCGAACATGGGAAATCTGGCGGAATGATGGAAAGAACGGAAGCAATCGGAAAACAATGACGAACATGGGAAACAATGCGACACATCACAAAAATGCAAGCGTCACACAACATGATACAGAACGGGGAGCTGTTCAGAAAACCAATAGGAAACAATGCACATTGCAAGCAAAAATCAAACTGAGGTCTCAGAACAACAACGTTCAAGCCATCCTCATCCAGCCTCTTTTTTTTTTTTTTTCCGCATCAGGCTTGCACATCTGGGAAGCTTCAGGATGGAGCGTGGTTGCAAGCCACAAGGCATGATAAGGATCCCAAGCGCCGCCCAAGCACTACAAACACGATCGACGAGTGGGGCTTCCAAAATCAAGGGCCCTGTTTGGGAGTCCCTTTAATTGTAAACGTAAAGATCATTGGGCTTTATATTCAGGACAGCCCCCAAGTGACTGCAAACAAGCTCACCAGTATCCTCCTCTCTGCGCAGAATGCCTCCCTCGCCAAACCTTGGCCCTTCAAGGCCATCCACCTTCAATGTCCTGAGCCTAGCCCAGAACACCTTTAGTCTCAGTGAAGATGTGCACAGGCATCAGCCCTTTAAGCTGTACAACCCAAACCTCCCAAGTACCCGAAATTCAAAGTATTTCGGAGGCTGTAGGAAGACCCTCCGCGCCATGTCTCGAGGGCCGGCAGCTTTGGCCGGGCTGCAGACAATGCTGGTCCCCGCGTTAGTGCCGAGAGCGCCTCGGCCTCGCCGCTCATTAATCATGTATAGAAGTGGAAGTGGGGCCCATACTAATCAGCAATACAGCAATACGTAGGGATTACGAAGGGACCATTGGGGTCCCTAGTGGGGATTATGCGGGGGACATTTTCAGAAACCTGCAGGTGTGTCTTGGTTTCAGACAATTCTCTGTGCGAGCCATGTCAGCCGATGTACCATGTGCAGCCCAACGCGCGGGCATGCACTATCGCTTAGGAATCTAAGTGGCGCATAGTCAAATACTTGCCCTGGGGATGTCGAGCAAGTAACTGCTCAAAGTCAAAGGGCCCAAAAGACTCGTTTCATGCTAACAAGCAAGCGCCGAAGTTGACTGAACTCGAAAAACGGGTACCGGCTGCAGAGCAAGGAGGGCAAGGGCTGCAAATGTGGGAAGACTTGCGAACTGCTGGGTCTTTTACCACAAGAACATGATCAGTTTCACTCTATGTCGGGTTGAAGTATACACGAAGATCCAAATCGTTGTTCAACAACACGTGCGCAGGTGAGGCTAGAAAAGCCTTCGACCTGCGCGCTCATGCCTCAACTGGATGACTTCGGCCCCTTGCCTCATCCTTTTTGAAATGCATTGATGTCTGAGTTGAGACACTCCCACGCAACTGCCTGCAGTTCTGGTGGAAGGTTCACGTCACCAAGCTCCAGGGCTCCGTCCCTGGTGGCAGGTTCGGTGACATTTCTTGGGGTCCTCACAAACCTGAAAGCAAGCATGACTATTTCATGTACATAGAAATCCAAATGCAAACAATACTTTGTGGACTTAGATCCCCCGGGTTTTTCAGAACCTCTCAAAGTCGCAGACCGGCCTCTCCAGGGCAGAGTAGATCTCCATGCCTCCTGGCAGCTGGCAGGGAGCCCCCAAACGAACATGGAGAGTTCCGAAAACTTAGGGGGCCCTTTAAATGGGATAAAAGGAATGTACAGGGCTTTATGAGGAGATTTTAGGATACAAAGAGTTTACGGCTTACGAGAATTAGGGTCTTTTTGGGGGGTCCTTAGAATGAGGACTGCAGTACAATGTGGGTGTATACATCAGATTGATTGATTGATTGATTGATTGATTGATTGATTGATTGATCGCCTGTGAGGTCCAGCCCCTGCATTTGCAAGGCACATCGCTGCCCTTCGCGACAAATCACTCTGGGTGCATACAAGGACAGTTTTGACGAATAGCCTTTTTGCTATCCAACTTTTAACAGGCAGCGGTTGCGGCAGCTTTTTCCAGTATAATGTCTACGTAGATGAGAGGTGCTCTTGCGCGATGGACCAAATGCAAATTCTTTCTTTGCATAAAATACTAATACTACAACCCGAAAGGCGATACAATGTTTATGTTAATCTTTACTGGGACGTAAGATCGACGTAAGATCCCTTTTAGCGTGCTACTCACACGTGGACTAGTCAAAGGAAACCTTTCAAGACATGTCGCGTAGCATAGAGTAGTCCTTCTATGGGTTCCTGGCAATCAAAGCTGCACTTGGAGAGGTAGGTATCCTGCACCCTACATATTTTCATATCATCCCCTACAACCACTGTAATGTATGGAACTCCCCCACAGATTTTGCTCTGCCCATCTCCTGTAGGTAGCTTGGATGGCGGCCCGAAGGCCTTGGGCCCCGTGAGGCCCAAGACATCCTTGACAAGAGGCTGCAAGGGGTGTATGGAACCATAGAATATGCAACGGCTATAATTTCAAGGGTAGCCTGGGTGGGCCTGTAACTAGCATCATGGAGAACCACATTGACAATGCATAGGCGTGGAAACTGGGCTCAGATACGGGGTAGAAGGGGGCTTGTGGACGACACAGGGTTCTACTTCGAAATTGACGAATAGACCAGGCAGGACTGTCACATACAAGAGTTACCTGGCTGTCGTTTGGGTCTTTCCCTACCTAGCAATAGACAGTCTACGACTGCACTACATGATGCCTCAGGACAGCTATGAATACCAGTGCACCTGAGCACATCCCACGTAAGGAGACATATTGCATCGTATATCCCGTTGCGTGGAATCTGCGCGGGTGCTCAAGCGTCCGGAGCTTACGGAAGATGTGACAGCGCACCTAGACAAGTTGCGTGCACACCGGCTTACACTTGGCCGCGCCACAGCCTTCACTCCCACAGCCGACGCGTGTACTGACTGTAGGCGCCTGAACGCTTACCACTTGTATTTTCTTATCGTTCCCACACATTTATCGTATACACTACCCCAAAACCATTCTCCATGCATTTCGTCTCCTACATTTCGGTATGCAGGCCATGGCGCGGCATCAAGGTCGAAGAGCAGGCGGCCCAGAGGCGAAAAAACAGCTTGACGGGCCTGACGAGCATCCACCTGGGTAGCGTGGTTTTGGGAGTTGAACCAAGTTAGGTTGTGCTCTTCTGATGAAGTACCATAGCCAAAAAAAAGGAGGATGCAATCTCACTGTCATATACTGGGGCTATATGTCCCTATTCAAAAAACCATGCATCTGAACCCGAAATCCGAGTAAGAAGCTCAGACACCACAGATGACTACAACCTTTTTGGTACTGCTAAAAGCTTGAATCTTTGGTCACCATTACTTTATGATTATAAGAATTCTTGTGATACAGTATACGTCATTATTGTCATTATGACTCGTGTTCTTGTTGCTATTACAACCAGGGTCGCGGCACCAGCTCCCTGCGGCTCCCAGCCAACGGCCCCAGCACTAGCCACCTGAAGGGCGTGATGCAGTCAAGTGCTGACCTGGCCCTCGCCCTCGTTATCTTCCATATACTATCATTCTAGGTAAGGACGAGAACATAGACAATTTTTCAGGCTTCTACATCCTTGCAGTTCTGCACTACGGGTTGGAGGTTCTAAACTGCGATGTGCACGCAGGCCTGCTTTCAAGAGGTGTAAGGCTGGAAAAGATCATGAATCAGTGGACCAGTCCTGGTGCAGTGTCTGGCGCTCCTTCTGAACCAACAGACCTTACGGACAGCATCCTGGGCCTCCACAGCGCCGGCATCTTGCCATCGCTGTCGGGCCGCCGCCAGCGGCGCCTTACGAAGCTTTTGCGTTCCGTGTTTCGATGGGCTCGTCCTATACCGGCAGAAAGGCTCTGAACGTGAACAGAAAGCCAATGCATATGCTGTCGACAGGCAATAGGTGAGCGCAGCCTCCATAGCCGAAGAGAAAACAAACGCAGACAAAGACTCCTGAGAAAGCTCTGCAGGGCCAGGGCCAGGCAAGTAGATGTAACTCTCATATCTCGTGTCCTGATACTCCTTCCGGAAACGGATCAACATAGGTCAAATGTTGCTAGTGGCCCGCCAGCAGGTTGCGACCTATGTCGAATTCAAGGTTGCGATATGAACATCTGCATCGAGTATGTATCCTCAACCCTAAACGTACCAATTTCGACAAACCCCTAGGCCCTAAAGGCCGAACCGCTAACATATAACGTCTGAAACCGAACTCTCTGTGAGAAGTCCTGGTCGAACAAGGCTTTGCCACGGGCAAGGTTATCAGAGCCTCTCAAGCTCAGCACTGTGAAGTTGCAGCTCAATTTCGTAAAAGTAGGAGCGGCTAAGGGTTTTAGGGAGTTAAAGGCCTAATTAAATAGAGGCTGCTCAAAAAGTGTGGCTTCAAGGACCCTAGAGATATATGACGATTACAAAACCATCATGCGTCCCTACTCAGGAAGGTATAATTTCTTTTTAGGGTTTCTAACATGTAAAACGAATCGTGAAGACTCAAATGGAAAGATCAATGCACAATGAATTGGTAGCTGGGTCCATATAGGGGTTTATCGTGCTCGAAGCCTTCAAGCCTTCAATTTCTTATGGGGCGATGTAGGGAATACATGTAGAGGCCTATCAAAATTGTGGGTTACAATATATTCTGATGATATCAAAGAAATTAGGAAACAACACATCGGTAAATATTCAGGCTTCTACGTTACTCTGGAGAGTCTGTGCTGATTCACTCTATAAGTCTGGCCATGCGTGCAACACAAAGCTCTACCGAAGGGTATCCACGCGTCTTGTGATAAAGCCCGAGCGCCTTGGCCGTCACCGAGGCAGCTCTCATCCTGCATTGAGACAAGAGGGTACTCTTAGCTGTAGCTTTCCTTGCTTCTCTCAACCTCTAGCAAGGCTAGACCTCGTGGGCCAACGGTCTGCTTGGACGGATGGGCTTTGAAGGTGGTGCTGGGCACCATCAAGTGCCATGATGTTTTCCAGCATGAGTTGCTCAAGGCACATCGAGGAGCCTCGACTATCTCACAGCGGAAGGAAGGCAGCGTGCTTTTGGGCTCCTTCCATAGCTTGCCAGGATTTGAAGCTGCGCACAAGGGCTGATGGAGCATTGAGATTCCAGGCCTCCATAGCGGTGCAAGCCACTCGCCTTGGGAGCAACTCCGAAACCAGCACAGCTGTCTGTTTCCCGCAGTACTGAATCGCACCCCAACGCAGCCTGCAGACTCTGCGCTGAACTGCCTTTAATCGACCCTTCAACTGCCTCTCCTCTTAAGCATCTTGATGAGCAAAGCAAGCCACCGGCATATTGTGAGGGTTTTACACTGCAACATCAGGGGCAGGGGCTGCAACTTGTAAACATAGCCTTCGGGTTGTTCTGGGTCTTTTGTGCAAGGTGCGATGTGGCATCTGCCAGCAGGCGCGAGGCGTTGCCCACCAGGTGCACGATGGGCTGCTCCTGCCATCCGTGGCCAGGTCAAACCTACCGCAACGGAACCAAACTGGACCTGCTGCCGTTGAACAAGCCAAACTTGTAGATATGCTGCATAGGGCGGCCAGTACAGGAATCCATGGCTTCTGGAACGATCGGCCGCTAACAAAAGCGTGGAACCAACTGCCAACGCAAAGAGCCTGTCTGCCAAGGTATTCTGTGCGAAGCTTGCATGACTGCGGCAGACCTCTGCCACAAAGTTCGTGCACCGCACAGCGGCAGCGGCCCCACCTGTGCATCCACGAGCTCTCAAAGGACAGCCCTCGATATTCACAGCGTGTGATGAAAGCTCTGTGTGACTTCATAGCTAATACCTGGAGAATTCTTATCATCAAACCTGCAAGATGTACAGTAGGCGGGCCCATGTGCCTGAGGAATCGGAGCAAATCGGATGCTCCCTTTCCTGCGATGTTTCACAAGTTTTGCCGGCATCAAATTAAACATGTTTTGCCTTGTAGTGATGACACTGGGGCTCGGAACGAGCCGCAAGATTTTAAACAATCAGGTCACTGCAGTGATATCAAGCACATGCTCGCGCTGTGTGCACTCATGAGCCCACAGTGCAGGACACCGAGTAGGAGCGGAGAATTTGCAGCCTTTCTGTCTGCACTAGCAGGGGGCCCCACAACTGTCTGCTAGACATTATTTTCCGTGGCCAGACATCTGACGCCCAAACCTGTCAATGAATTCCAATCTATGTCATGCGCTTTCTTCCGTGTCCTGGTGTGGACCTTGTCTGGCCGCTTCTCTTCTGAAAGGCGTTGGGTCTTGCTGGCAATACAACGCAGACCTCCTGATACAGCACTCCTCTGGCGTTAATAATTCTTGTTGTCTGATGTGCACGTAATTTGAAGTAGCCTGCGCCATCGCAACTTGCATGCCTGAGCTCTTGCGCTCAACCGTGTGTTTTAAAGGAGTGGTTGCCATAGAACCCGGCGGTGGCATGAAGTCCTCCAGACGTAGGTCGCAGTCCAGCAGGGAATCTTCAGTGCCTTGCAGGGGTAGGCGTATTCCTGCACTTGATGACTGATGCTTGTCAAATTCCAGGCCTGAGGCTTTCCTGGTTTAGATCAAGCCTTTGCGGCGGGAGGACACAACTACCAAACCTGAGAAATGTCCAGGTATTTCGGGGAGTTCCTGGGCTTCGCTTGCTTTCTGCTCAAACCTGGCTAGGACCTCCATACCCTCAATACCGGTGCAAAGATGACGCGGAGGCTGCCTTGACATGCTACTTCTTGTAGCAGGGCAGCGTCCGTGGCTGGGCCATTGGCCATGCGGAAGGTGCCAAGGCCTGCAACAAAATGGCAAGTGCACGTGATGCTGCTTGCGGCCATAGGTCTGCCTTCGAAGATGACTTGGGACATCAGAATTCATCTGTTACTTCCTCAATACCTATGCTGGCTACTGCAGCGTGGCTGAATGACTAGTGCGCAGCTTTCAAACATGAAGCTGGCTGGCGACCAGCCTCGTCGAAGGCCGAGCTGGCGGCAAACCACCTCGCAAAGGGCCAGGGAAGCTTGCGCATCCCGCATGCCAGTCGACTGAGCTACGAAAGTATGGTCTAAGGTTTTGAAACTCTCAAATTTTGGAGTATTGTAGCCTGCATTGTGTATACCCGGCTCTAACGCAACTCTTGGCTTCTGGCCTCGGCGGCATTGAGGCTTAGGCCTGGGCTTTCTTTGCCCATGCAAAGCCAGCCTGAGCTTATCAGGTGCAGTTCTTGCGCAGGGAGGAACTTGCAAACCGAGCTGGTGAAGTGCCATGTCTTAATCTTCGAGCATACAGCTGCAGTGCTGCAAAGCACCCAAAGGCAAAGACGGAGCATGAAGGAGAATGGCAATGTCTTTCAGCTATCATCTACATCGCCATCATAAGCATTATCCACTTCCTGCTCCTCCTCCTCATCATCATGACCGTGTCATTCACACGTACCACGGCCTGAGACGGTGCTTTTTTTGGCTTGGCCTTACCAAGAATTCACGTAGTTAATCTGCCACCTGGAAGGTCGTACACGTGGTCCGGGTGCGGCAACCAACTGAAACTTTTCCAGGGCAGCCTCGAGACGCCAGCGACCCATCAGGAGTACCTGGTCCAAACTGCGCTGGCTTCAGCTACGTAAAGGACGGCAGTTCACTCTTGCGAGTGCTTCTTTGCTGTCATGTACCTTGCATTACAATGAAAACTTCGACATCAGCAACTTGCAACCCCGATAAGCTATCATCAACAATCAGCAGCTGAAACGCTGGGCTATCCTGCAGAGCTGAAGCAGTGCAATATTTTTATTTTGGTACTCAGCAAACCACATCCACGAATGTCGGAGCTGATAACCCAAGTCTACCTCAAACGTCACCAGGCGACTTACATAGGCAGATAACCCAAGGTAGATACCGTTGATTTTTCTTTTATTGACTTTCAAGCCCAAGTGCATTGACTACACCGCTCAGAGCCTGCCTCAACTCGGCCGGCATCAGTGTTGCCACCTGGTCATGACCAGAAGCAAGGGGTCCAGGAGATTTGCATGCGGCAGCCAGAACTAATACCAGACTACCCTTGCCGATGTGTCTTTGCCACTTTGTCAGTGAAACGGCAAGACACCTGCCAGTCGCACTGGCACTGTTGGCACCGGCAGGGATGCCGCCGCCGCCGCGAAAACCATTTCGATGGCTGTGGTTGAAGCTTGATCTTGTGTTGAGTGCTCCATCTGAGTAGCAACAGGTTGGACGCAGAACTGCGCCAGTAAGTCTGTATTGATTTGATCGAGTAGCCGTGCCATCGGACCTCTGCTCCACCGGTGGCGAGATGTAAGGATTTGGACAACAGTTTTTTTTACCCTACATGCCACAACAGTCAGAAGTTGCCAAATCATGCCTCCCCTAATCAAGATTCTGTCGATCAGGTGAAACTACCATGTTGGTGAGTGCAAGCATGCAGGGATGCGGACACTTTTGCATGCACAAGAGGTTACCCCATGTGCAGTGCTCGCCTGAACACAGCTGAGAAACTCCCCAAAGCTGTCGCGTGACAGCTGAGGCTCTTTGTCCGGCAAGGGAGGCTGGCTGTAAAAGCTCGCTGCTGAAAATCAGTGAGGCCCCCTTGGGGGGTCCCATTTTCACTGCACAGAACTTGCCAAGAAGGTTGAGCTTTCGGGGTTTCCCATCTTTTGGATTCTTTATTTCTCGTGCACACCAATACTGCACATCTCATTCCAATGGTCGCTACCAATCCTGACTTCATTATTCCCAGCAGACCTTCAGTCACTGTAGTAGTCTTTGACACCGGGACAAGCCCTATAAGCCCTGCCTGCTTTAAGCTGGCGAGTCAAGAACTTTGGTAACAGATCGCCGAGAAGGCTTCTTGGAGTTCTGACACTTCCGCGCGACGGTCTGTGACCTCAGTTGCAGAAAACTTCCACGGCCTCCATAACAGAAGATGAAATCGGCAGCTGACAAAGCATGATGCAATTGCGGTGAGAGATATGAAGTTTAAATACTCCTACAATTCTTGACGTGGGATGGGTAGATGAACCGGCAAGAATCCTAGCGGGAAGCTTGTCTTCTACGCAAGGAAAGGCTCTATTGATGATTATATATATATATATAAAGAAACTCCCATGTCTGACTCGATCTGAATTGTTTCTGGCAGCTTCGCTCGCGGCAGAACCATGTCTAGCACCTGGCAGCTGGGCTTCGTGTTTCTCCCTGGTGCTCAGGAGGGAATGATGGGAGGCAGGGCTATGGCATAGGGCTCTGACAGAGGACTATTAGAGGGCCCATTCCAGCAACCTACTGAGCACAAGTGATTTGCCTATTGAAAAAATCGGATCGCCCCCTTTGCCTAACTGCTGCTGCTAGATGCTATCGAGTCCTGGCTAGTGACAAGTCGCGGATTTACCGAGCCTCCTCGTTGTACTCTTCGATCCGCTTCTGCCTCATTGGGAAGATGGGGAGAGAGATGGAAGGAGGGAGGGACAGAAAGAGAGACGCAGCGAACTAGTTCAGGATGATTTTCAGGCACAGGGCGCACAATTTATATCTGCACCAGGTTGCACCACCGTCGTGCCCCCAAGGAAGCCCTCGCATCCCAGCTTCAGTGACACAAAGACCTGGGCTGAGCTTCTATAGCTATATGCTGCTAAGAGTTCACTTCCTAAAGCTTGTCAACGTTTGAACGTGTGCAGCCAGCCGTACAGAGCCTTTGTAACACTTGTGACATGATTGATTGCTTGATTGATTGTGTCCCTATGGGTCACGAGAACCCCTGCTCAGCAAGGCACTAGTGGCTGAACTGACAGTTGCAGGTCACCCCTGACAACACTTGTGACAACCGGAATCCAGTTTTGCTTGCAGCTGGAACGTGACGCCTTAAGGAACCGCATGAATGGCTTCAATGGTGGTTTTACACCTCACACTTTAGAGCATGTGCGTTCAACGTTTACGAACTTAGCACAATGTCGGGGGCGACTGGCAATAACACATCCCCTGTCCATGTTCTTATGGCAAGCCGTCAATCGCCTAACAAGCCCCAGTTCACGGTCTCATGTCTTTCCGGCATCTGACGCAAGGCGCAACTTTGCCAAAGGTCGCCCAAGAATATTCGCAAATTTGAGAGCACACCCAACGCTTCAGGCCACGGAACCCTT